TATGGTGCCTGGTGAGACCAATTATGAAAAAATTGCAGCAATTGCTGCAACTTTCAAGGAGGTCTTGGAAGTGTGAGCATTCAGAGTGCACATAGCCTTCTCTCACTGCCTCAGGAATGCCCAGTCCCTGAATGATGAAGCTTGCATCACAGTGTATCTAAATAAGATAAAACCGAGGTTGATCCCAAAATGCAGAGAATGCAGCTGTAAAGCAGACTTCAATGGAGTCGTGGCTCTATGACAAAGGCGATACCCATAAACTTCTTCTTGTCCATTTTTAAAAACTTTTGTCATTTTCTTGCAGGTATCTAGCTCATAGAAGCAGCATTTACCCTATTAGTGTGATAGATTAGATAGATAGATAGATAGATAGATATTGATAGATAGATAGATAGATAGATAGATAGATAGATAGATAGATGGATTGATCACAGTTTCTCAGTGTTGTAGGCCTCTTTTTAAAAATAATCTAACCTGCAATAAGCAAGTTATTCATTAATTTTACACTATAAGTTAGACTTTAATTGCCTTTATGTCAAAGACTCATTTTTCTTCCATTAATTTCACTCTGCTGGAGCTCAATCTCACAATGGTTAACACATGTGAAGTATGTCTGGCTTTCAAGTTAACAGGAGAGTTTCCACTTCATTTGATTGATTTACAATTAAGTTTAGAACTGTTAGACATTTCTAGGGATTTTATAATAATATATATATGTTTATACTGCCCAGAGTGACTCAGTTTTGGGATATTAGAACCTTATTATAAAACATTTGCTTTAAACCATTAATTGTTCATTCTAGACCTATTAACGCTCTTCCCTTGGACTCTCAAAAACTAGTCAACAAGATTACCTTGACTGCCTGTAGAGCTCTGAGTGTCTGAAAGAAGGGCTCCCCTCATTGCAGGAGGCCCATGCTATGATTGTGGACAACTGATTTATGGATATGGCCCACACCCAAAGTTCTATGGGCAAGTTTGGACTCAAGGTGTTACGTCTTAGGAGGTTTACACATTTTGAGGCGATTGTTCAGGTGCCATAGGTTATAGCTCGAACAGGGTTTCCCTTGTCCCTTTATTACTCTATACTTTCGTTGACCTCCCTTTTTATTTTATTTTTTATTTTTTATATTCATTCATCATGCATTTCTGAACTTACATTGTTATATCATTCCCAGGAGTGCGTACAGCTGTTGGTATAATACTGCTGTTCTAATATGATCTTGCTATACTTGTTGCAGAAATTTTGTTGCCTTATTTTGTAAAAATGGATGCTATGCGCATCTGTTTTATTTAATAAACTTTTGTTTCTGTACTCTGTGCCTAACCAAAACACTGTGTTTTTTTTCTAATGCCAACCAATTTTGCAGCAATAGCAATTGGCAGACTGTCCACATACGCCTTTGGCAGTCAAAATGTTAAGTAAACGAAGTTTGCCTTAGTGTTTTATTTTTGAACTTATGTTACTCATACCAGATGATTCATCCAGCTGCATCAAAATAAGATGCCATCTGTTTGGTAAGTGCTAGTGTTTGCCAGGTTACAATTTGACATAGGCATGCCAATGAAAATTCAAACTTTAAGGTTGTATTAGTTAAAATAAAAGAAAGACAATATAAAAACAATAAATGCAATATATCAATACAGTGTAATCTTGATAAAGTGTCAATGTGCAGCCTAAAAGACAGAGCCACCTCTAATAGTTCCAAAACAAATGTGAAGTAAAATGATAATGTCTTTGGTGCAAACAATGATATTAGTATAGTATTTTGCACAAAATTGTGAAATTGCACAGTGCACTTTAGTTTGCACCAAAGACATTTTCGTTATAAAAACAATCATACTTCTATTCCTTTGTTCCAAACTTTATGGACTGATGTCCTCTAGAATTCAGTTTCAATTCAAACTTACAAGGACATCATTCTATGAATATGGCAACAAAAGCGGAAAGTTATTGGCTAGAGCCCTAAGGAAACGTAGGAAAAAGACATTCGTCGGCAGGACACACCACATTGACAAAACACTAGTAACTCCTACCAACTTTGCTGAAGGTTTTCGCCAATACTATCCCTCATTATATGACCTTGACACACACAGATCATGTGACTCGATTCCACCCTCCAGAGACGATTAACATACCTATGCCGCACAAAATATCAGGCTAACATTAGACTCGAGGCTCTAGAAGAACTTCTAACTGCTTAAGAAGAACCAATCACAGTTGACAAGCTTGCACTTGCCCTCAAATTATTAAAATCCAGGAAGAGCTCTTGCACAGATGGTTAGACAAGTGCTACAAAACATATTCAGACTTATTAGCCCCACACCTACTCCACATGTTAAATACTATACAGGAAGGCAGCTCACTACATCCATCTTCAGGCCCATATAGTGGTGCTCCTTATTTCTACAGATGCAGAGAAGGTGTTTAACAGAGTAGATTGGTCTTTACTTTTCAGAGTTCTAATACAGAGAGGATGAGGCACCAATATGCTGGCGTGAGTCACTACCCTATACTTAAAACTCACTGCGCAAGTCTATGTCAACAGTGTCATATGTCCATTCATATTAAAAAAGGTACTAGACAGGGGTGCCCCCTGTCTCCCCTCCTGTCTGTTCTAGGTCTAGAACCCTTTTTGAATGCAATAAGAAGCAACCCCAATATTGCAGGACTTAAGGGGGACAGGGTGGCAGCTGGGTGATGATATACACAGACGATCTGCTCTTCTCAAATTCCGAACCCACAAAATCCCCACCCTCAATAATGCAAGAATTTCATACCGTGGGATCTATTTTGAACCTAACAATCAACTTCACCAAATCAGAAATCTTTAACCTCACCTCTCAGTCTGTACCTTGAGAAGCACATATAACCTCAGATGGTGTAACGGAGGAATAAAATTTCCCCCCGTAACTAGAATAAGTCAAACAAGACCCGCAGAATTGGTCTCCCGCATATCACCTGGTTGGGCAGGATTAGCATCCTAAAAATGAATATTCTCTCACGCTTCTTATACTTACTTCATACATTCCCAGTTCTTATTTCACATTACTTTTTCGGTCAACTTCATTAGATCTTCTTGGAGTTTGTATGGCATAATCTGAAAGCTCGCTTGAGATACGATATCCTAATAAGACCTAAAAACATGGGAGATCTGGGGTAAAAGCAATTCACCTCCAAAGGATAATTGAATGGAACATTGCCCTCCCCTCAGGAAGATTCTGGGTGCAGCTTGAAAATAAATTCACAGACATCTATGTAGCTGCTCTACCCTAGCAAAAACTGTACATTCCCAAGAAACAACCCCACCATACTGAATACTATGGCAATCTGGAAGAGAACAGCTAGAAAGGACAGTCTCTGTCGGCCTCGGTCAGCCCTGTTTGTCATCACCTAGAACAGTCAGTGCCTCCTTGCCCCCCTTCCCAGCCTGCCCCTGACTAGAGTGGAAGAAATTCTCTCAACAGAGGAATTTATGCATGGTTCCATTGGACACTCTGGCTACCCTCATGGTTAGACCAAGCATAAGTAGATCACTGTAAGACCCCCAACCCCTTCCCACGGATGTCTGTGGATTCGGTTTGAACAACAGCTCTTTTTCCCCCTTTATCAACTATCCCCAAAACTCAAGTTTACTCTTATGTTGTACATTAATATCAATTCCTTTGTTGCTTATACTTATATTTCTACCTTATAAGATGTATAATACATTTTTCTTACTTTCTATATTTCTAACATATGTGTGTGCAAATACTTACTTTTGCTTCAATAAAGCTTAAAATAAAAAGAAAATGCAATATTTAACAACCTCATCTAAATCAAGTTGTTATGGTGTCAGGGGGCCCCTAGGCGCTGTCATGCGAAACTTAGTTACATGAAGTTTAGAGTGTTGCCGTGCATGGGTGCCGCTGATTGGCTACAGCAGTCAGTAACTCCACATTCAGAAAAAAAAAAAGTACCAGCTGACCGCTCTAGCCAATCAGTGGTGCCCCTGCCCAGCGGCACTCTGCGCTTCCTTTAACTCGGTTTCAGAAGCCAAATGCCTTCTGGGGGACATAGAGATCAGCGCAGCAGGTTGGGAATGGTTGGGGTTAAACCATTCAGGAATTTAGATGAAGTTGTTAGGGTGATCGGAGTGTTCTTTGATTCATCAAATTATTTCAGGGCAACACTTTTCATACACTACTTTGCAGCAGGAAAAAATTCTGTTCAGGAAAACAAAATGGATCTGGCAACCTTGCTGATAGTGCAGGCTATTTTGTTGCTATATTCAAGTCAGGAAAAAAAGTTGTCTATCTCCAACTTTTTCCTGAACTTGGCATCATTAAATACCATACAAAAACCATCATCGTTTGCCATCAAGAAATATGTTACTGATTTAACAACAAACTCTAAGGCAGAAGATTTATCAAGTTGGAAATATGTGCTACTCTGGGGCAAAGTGCTAAATAAAGAGCAATCACCATGGAAACCATTAGAATGTCTCGCAATATTTAGAACGTTGCCCCAGAATAGTTTACCCTTGATGGGCCAGTCTTTCCCAAGGAATTTTTTTGTGTCACATTTAGTCCAAAACGTTTTCTTGACATTTCATAGAAAACTCAAAGAATGTGTTTATCAATTTGCTTGTAAGCTTCCTGAGGTAACCCAGTCAGTGCAGGTGGGAACTGGGACGGGTGAACACATCTGTACGGTCAGTAATATTACTAGTATACATTGTAGCTAGAAATGCTCTGCACGGAGGACTGATCCAGAAACTATTATAGGTTATATGGCTTTGAAAATTGCAGCCATAAACTGCATGGAGAGATGGTCATTCGAAATCAGTGGTGCTTTTTGTTCGTCTTTATTAGTTTACATAACGTTTGTCACATGGAAAGTCCCAAAATGTTCGCTGTAGGTTGGGGACCCCGAGTCCAGAGTTTATTCCCCCAGGCAGCAGGTATAGACTAGCACTATTGGTGTTGTAGCTACGCCCATGTAGTGATCCCAAGCAGGAAGCATACTGCACATGTACACAGACAGCGCAATCCCATGTACACTTACAGCCCACACTCAGACCAGTATCTTGCAGCATGAGGCAGCCCTCCTCTCCACAGGAGCCGGAGACACCACAACAGGGCGAGTGGAGTGGGGACAGGGTGTGTGAGAGATCAGGGTGGGAGGACAGGGTGTGTGAGAGATCAGGGTGGGAGGGAAGAACTGCTGATCTATCCTGTGTTCCCCTTATCAAGCCAACTTGCTCAGAGACCTTCTGCTCATCTCCTTCCATCCTGGATGTGACAGCCATGGGATAATCTCTATAGTAAACTCAGGTGAAGCCTGATCTCCCACTGTGGGCAGAGGAGGTCATTGGATGAGACCACCCTAGCAGTCTAATAACCTGTGTCCTGGCTCTCTGACCATGGCTGTACGAGCCATCATTTTAAATGAAGACCATGGATCCTTGAGATATACTCCTTGTGGATTAATTCCCTGTGGATCTTAAAGCAAAACATTTTATTGTATTTTTCTAAAAAAAAATATTTGTGGACCATTGACCCTTTACTTGTTCTATACCTGCCTGGGTCCCACAAGCCTTGCTGCCTCACTCACTTACCCATTTACAGGAGAGTTGGCTTCATGTAATTTAACCATTGCATTGCCTCTAAGGAAGAGGATGCTTCCCAGCTACAGGTAAGATCTAACTTTATAGTTTTCTGTAAAATGTTGTGTGATGCATTCAAAATGTTCTGCACTCCAACTACCATGGTGCTCAGCCATTAATCTGGGCAGTCCTATTCCCAATGCTGCGGGAGTTACAGGACTTGCCTGTTCAAGGTGTTGCCAGAATTTATAGATGAAATGACATTTTATGTTTCAGTCTTCCACACATACAGATAAGTTTGCCACTGATTTTAACTTAGAGAATGCATGTTAAAACTACATTTTGATTACAGTGCTCTTTACATTTTTAAGTATTCTCAGATTACAGTTTTTTACCCAACAGGAGAATTATGTATTACACAGATTTCCAGACTGTTTACCCCCAGAGGGATGCACCTGGAAAAAACTCAATTTAAATAATATAAAAGCTCTATCTCATGTTTAGGGTATTTGGCTAAAAACAAACCCTTCAAAAAATATTTAATTTGTTGCTGATGCATAAATATGTTTGGATGAATGCTAGCTATTAATCACATATTCTTAGCATGTTGCAATGCGTTCTCTTTCAAAAACACTGAGGTTGAGATTGAAGTTAATTGCTGGTGTCCTCTTATTCACCCACCTGTGCCTCTTGACAAATATGTGTGAAGTATAGATTTTAGACGATGATAGACAACAGTTAGATATCTTGCTTTTTTGAACTACATCACCCATGATCCTTGTCCAGTATTTGTTTGACACAGGTAAATTTCTAAGCATTAGATTGTGAATTTTGGAAATCTACCTGTTGCATAAGCATTGCACATTTATACAGCCAGACAGGCTTTACTGTGAATTTAGAAGAGGGAAAATAGTCTGTAGGCATCTCTGCTACGTAGTGGTATGTAATAAAGCTGACTAAGCAGTTTGGACATTTGGACATTTAGTTCAATAACATCTTAGATGGCAAGGGTGGACTTGCAGGTTTTTTGTTTTTTTTTTAAACTTCATTTTTGAGACAGCAGTATGTTGCACATCCTAACTTGTAGAAGTTCACTAAGCCAACAAACTGAAATTAATTTTCTATTGATATATCCCTGTGCTTGTAATTCTGTCAAAACTTTGAAGGTAACATAATTATGAGCAACTTTAAGGCAAAGCTCTAAAATTAGAGCAGTCACCATGGAAACCAAACAAATCTACCACTTGTTTGACTCCTAGAACTTTGCTCCAGAGTTGCATTTGAGCACCCCAAATATGTTTTCTAAGGTATACTACACACTATATTAACACTATAAGCATTTTTTTCTGGACAGTTTTACCTAGCAAGTGTAACTAATATTTCAGATATAATTCTACGGGTTTTTTTCTGTCTAGTAGAAATATCTCTCTGTAATTGACCATGTCAGTTACTAGTTCATCTTGGGGGCACGCAAGTAGCGTTTGCGTAACATAACTCTTATACCAAGACGAAACAAGGAAAATTAAGAATGTGAGAGGTATGTGACAGCTGCTTCTTTTTATACACTGGATACAATGCACATTATCCCCAAGATTAACAGCGATTACCTGCGTATAGGGTGTCATTGCAAGCTATGCAATGGGGCATTTTGCCAGAATTGATGAATAGCAAATCAATGGGACTATTGGTGATCATATTGTATGCCCAGCTGGAAGTGTACGTCAGAGAACAAGACCACACTGAAAATCAAAGCTGGGAACATTGAGCAAAACTCCAGGCAGCCCGAGAAAAGAATGTACTTTTCAATTGGTTCTCAACTGCGTATGATGGCTGCTAAGAACCCAACAAAGGGCAATAAAAAACACAATGGCATAGACATCTGGGTTAAACAAAAAGCTCTTTTATTGAGGTACAAACTGTACAATGTTACTGGCATAATGTCTATGATAAAAAAACAAAGTACTTCTTGAAGACCATCCAGTTAGGAGGACTCATTGCTATTTTAGTAATTGAATTTCTGGATCTGGACCACAGTAAGGTACCGGTTATATTTGGGAACTTCAAGCAATTGGTCCTGAAAGAGTTTGAACTGAGTTATGAGCGGGCTTCACAAACAAAACATCTGAATGAATCAACACAGGACTTCAACAGAAACTGAGATCCTTATTTCTTGAAATGTTTGGTCCAGTTTTGTATGTCCATAAAAACAGTTAATAGTCAAGTTCTCAAATGGTTTGTGATCACTTGCATTCTGTGTTCAAAGATCTACAGAAGAGCAGTTCAAACGTGACACTATTATTTCTTTCCTCAACTAACCTCAGGTATGTTGAAGGCTGTAAACACCTTAATCGATAAACTGGAAGCCAAAACTGGTTCCCAGTGTTTCTTGGGAGGTATGATACATCAACAACACAATTTATAGTCAGTCCCTGCAAAAGATTGTGGAGACATAAAAAAAATAAAAAATTAAAGAATTAACATTTTAAACTACACATACTTGAAAACGAGAGACATCTCAATGTATCCTTCCTGGTAACATATTTTATAACTAAATATATTAATAAATAATAACCTGGGGTACAATATAGAGATATAGGGTGACTAGGTGCACTTTATAGGAAAATGTTATTTCCTATAAAGTGCACCTATTCACCCTTTCATGGCATATCCAGCTAACAAACACAATGTAGGTAGCTGGATAGTAGTGCTACCCTGTTATTCATTGATAGGGGTTGTCTAACCAAAGAAGATCCTAATGACTTTTCTAGGGTGCTTAGGATTGAAAAACATATAAAAGGTATTCATTTTCCCTGGATCCAAATAAATCAATAAAGGGCGGTCAGTCTCTGTTGGTGAATTTTGTTTTTGCAATCATCGCACAACCAAGTCTACATTATTCAGCATCGGAAACCGGAATGCCATTGAAATGTATTAATAGTTGAGCATATTGATGTTCCTCCTGCCTTAAGGAACTGTGTTAAAATATATACAATCTATTCCTTTAAGAGTTTACCTGTCCTTTAAAGGGTGCTCTACCATCACAACGAGGGCAGATCATTGTAGTCATTATGGTGTAATGAGTCTTTGTGCTGTCTCTTTGATTAACACTGTCGGTGGCTTAGTACAGAGCTCACAGCCAGTCAAGGTTGGATGGCTTTGGACAAATTATGCAGAAGTGAGTCATCTGCATTAACTGAGTGGCTGTAAAGAGAGTGCTGTGAAGAACTCCAGATATGGTCAAAATAAACTACTCCAAAATATATTGCTAAATAACCAGTAGAATGAGCTATAGTTGTCATGGTGCCTAGAATGCTCTTTTGAACTGCCATGAGCATGGTAGTTTCTCATGGACATTGAAGAAACTTTCCCTAATCCTGTACAGGAAAAGTTCCAAAATTAAAGCATACCTGCGATGATACACACAACTGTAAATTGAAAGTAATAACATGATCTTTATTTTATAGTAATTAAATTGCTAGTAAGTGTACTGGCTTGATGAAAAATCTCTTTAAAATGATGTCTCTCCACACCTGCTAATCGTGTAGGTGTTACTGTCATGATCCCATGTTCACCCCCTAGTTTTTGTAACTCTTCAGTCTGATGCAGTACCTCACAGTGCCACTAACGTGATGTGGTGCTGTTGCAGGCTGCCATACTCAAGCTGAAGAGATTTGACTCTGCCCCAGGTAGCCTTGTAGTGTAGCCTGTTCCTTTCTTAGTGGTCAGGCTATTGTTTGGTTCAGGCTTAGTTTTGTATCCCCTATCTGTGAATCCAAAGCTTTGCTACCCGTGTAATGGAAACCAGAGTCCAAGAGGCTGGCTTGCTGTGTCATGGAGGCCAGAGTCCAAGAGGCCGGCATGCTGTGTCATGGAGACCAGAGTCCAAGAGGCCGGCTTGCTGTGTAATGGAGGCCAGAGTCCAAAAGGCCTGCTCGCTGTGTCATGGAGGCCAGAGTCCAAGATGTATGCTCGTTGTGTCCTGTAGGCCAGAGTCCAAGATGTCTGCTTGCTCTGTGCTGGAGGTCAGAGTTCAAAAGGCCTGCTCACTGTGTCCTGTAGGCCAGAGTCCAAGAGGCCTGCTCGCTGTGTCCTGTAGGCCAGAGTCCAAGATGCCTGCTTGCTGTGTGCTGGAGGTCAGAGTTCAAGAGGCTTTCTAGGTGCACCTTGAAGGACAAAGTCCAAGAAACCTACATGCTGTTTCCTGAAGGGAACACTATAGCATCAGGAACTGTATTCCTAAAGCTATAATATCCCTGTCTCTATAACCATAGTCCTGCACTCTGGTGTATAAACCCTTTTTTCACTTACCTCTTTCCAGCACCAATGTCCCACAACTCTGGCTCGGTCTCCTCCTCCAGTGACGTCATGCTGATGGGGGAACCAAATGCACATCTGCATCAAGTGCTGCGCAAACATTAGAGATTTCCCATCAATGCTTTTCTATATGGAATTTCAAGGCGTGCAATGCATGAGAACGTCCAACGTTGTTTCACTGAGTTAAATCCAGGAAGTGCCAGGAGAGGCAATCTTAGTAGTCCAATGTAAACATTGCAGATGCTCTAAAACTACAATGTTTTAGATTGCAGGTTTAAGGGGACAGGAACACTGCACCCAGACCACTTCAATTAAATTAAGTTTTCTGAGTGTCCATAGTGTCCCATGAAGGCCATACTCCAAGAGATGAGTGTTCCTTCATTTTTTGAGTTATGACTTGTCTTTTTCTCATCAACTATCAAGGCACCTCCAAGTGACAGGTCTGCTTTAAAGTGTTCCTATCATTAAAAGAAATAACACAGTGTCTCATTAAAGAGAATGAACTGTGATCTACACATTGTATTAATAAAACTAATAGACAATGGATAAATTACATGCTATTCGTGTATTCCTATCTTAGCATTTACTTCTATGCTGTTAGACTACAAGTGAATACTACAGACAGCAGACGTGACTGCAGTAATGGGTGGAGGGGCAGATTAAGTCTTCAAGTTGTATAAATTGATACAATATCTGCGACTACTTGAAACTCTGCTTGTTATCCATAACCATTGTGAATTGCAAATCTACATGAGCTCAAGATGACAGAACTGCAGAATAAAAGACTTGTAGCTTTTACTGACTGTGTCAAACCTCCATTGTAAAGAAGCAGTCATCACTCATATGACTAATAATGACTGATGTCAGTATGTGAAAGGTTACATCTGGCCAAAAGTGGCTTTAATACACAATCTTAATCCTCCTGGAATTACCTTTTAAAGCTCACTTGTAACCTTAGTGAACTGAGACTTTTGAAATGCTTGTTTTCTCTACTGTCTCAAGGTTTGCATAGTTAGAACCGAAGTCTTATTTGATTAATTTGATGATAACTCCTGGAATGTAATTTCCTTCATACAGCTTTACCTTCAAAAACAACACATTTTAAAGTCAGTATTTTTTTGTTTTTCTTCTGTCAAAATCTGCCATATGCTTCCTTGTACCTTCGGCCAAAAAAGCAGTAAAATCATTTATACAGCTGTCCTGAGTTCACCCTTTTTTAAAATTTTTAAAAACGTATTTAATCTTTTTTATTACTATGTGTTAATATAGAGATGAAGAGGGATACCGCCAAAAATGCAAATATTTAGGAAGGTGACAAGTTCTACTTTCATTTTGCTACGGCAATAGAAAACATTTTTATTATGGTAGTTGGATTTAGAGTAGTTCTGTGCTCCTTGGGTTTTGTACATTTTAATTTCCTTATTCTTATTACCTATTGTAGAACCAAGTTTCTAGCACAGGAAATAAATATGTTTATACATCTTGTGTAGAAGCCGCAAGAAGAAACTTTCTGCCAGAGTTTTCTCATTTTGTAATCTCCGCATCTCCTGGCCGCCTAGGACTGCCTTATTAGATGTTATTTAATATGTGATCTGTATTGGTTAATTATACCCTTTACTCATTATAACTGAACTATATAAATAAATAGCACATCTTGAAAAACATTTGGCACCAGCAATGATAAGCAATGCAACTGACCATCACATAGCTCTTCCAGCATAATCATTGCTAGACCAGGGCTCCCATTGATCATTCGAGATGAGAAGTACAAACTACCTACAGTGGGGGCAATAAGGTGCCACTTACTACATACACTAAGGGTAGACTGAAGTCCTTAAAAAGCAAATACCCACATTTAATGCCTGTTTCCAAGCCTTACTTCCTCAACATGTTGGAGCATGAGAGGGTATAGTTTCTTTCATGAAGCTGTCAAGAATTCTACGTAACCTCAATATGGAGCAAACAATAGTGATTTCTGACCACACAGCTCATTTTCCTGCTTTACTCCATCACTGCCTTGTAAATTGATCTGTGTATTTATTACAACTCAAAGTTCATGGGACATTTGCTTTTTTGTAAACGGGTCATGTTGACATTGTCCACACAGCTTTCGCCATCCTAATTCCACCCTTGTAAAACCTGTTAGAACAAGGTTGATATAGGCAAAAGCAATCACAATCCATTTGCACAGTTTTTAAGTCTTTATTTGAAATGTTAGTCAAAAAATAGCTCTATTTATCATCTAATCTGTTTATCACCTGCTTGGAATGTAGACACTTAAGAATTTTTGGACATTTTGTCCTGTCTCTAGAATTTCAATAAATTAACAACAAAAAATGCTTGCCTTGTGAAGGAGAACTTGATTGATATGTCTACAAAAAGTATCTTGTCAACTATAACAGCTTTACAATTTAAAACATTCACATAGAATATTTAAAATAGTAATTTAATGTTTGCACAGTTACCTCTACAAACAAATGGAATTTTTTGTATTATAATTCATTGTTACGATTTATGATGTAAACAAATCCTTCTGACCTTTTGCAGATGAGATGTACCTATGGGTAAGATTAAAAATATAAAATGTATTTTGGAGAATGCCTGGCTGATGCTAATCAGTATTATGTGTGTCTGTTATGTTGTGTCCGTTATCTAAGGTGTGTGTAGAGATATCCATAAAAAATGTTCAAGAGAGGAGCAAATCCATAATAAATCTAGGCAATGCCAGTGACGCAGCTTTCTGGGTGTGACCACTGAAAAGGTGTGTAAAATTGGCATAATTGCAATGCTGACTGATGGACTTGTGGCTAGCCCTAATCACGGCAGATTGTAAAGAGAGTACTGCTGAAGTGCTCTCTAAATGGTCCTAGTACCATTTAAAAGTCCGCCTGCACTGTGATGGCTGTGGATAGTTGCCTGGTGTCACTGGATGCGAGAAACTAGTGAACAATATCAGGATGATGGGACAGGATACTGAAATAAGGGCTGTCCCACCGAGAGCGAAACATTTGGGAGACCTACTCTTGCCCTACACTGTAGACATCTGTGTTTATCTCCATGCAGCGTAGAAGGTTGACACCTGAAGTGCAGAATAATTGTTTGGACAACCAGCTGATATATTATGGCCTACTAAAATGGGAACTGTTAGTAATTAAAAGTGAATTCAAACTTAATTTCACATTTTAGGCTAAAATAGTTGAACTAAAAACATAGCTGACTTGGACATTTCTTTTCTTTTTCCAAATTGGATATTTTGGACTAAAATTTGTAATTCATTTTAAATTCCTGACAATTCACATTTTAGTGAATCTATGGAATCCTGTATAGACCTCAGTGTCGTACTCTTGTCCGAGAGTGTACAACACTGACATAGAAACTGAAATGCCAGGAGACAATGTATATAACATGAAGATGGCAGCAGCTGTAAGGACAGTATGAGGTAAGTAAAACTCCCCTTCCGTGTTGCCCACGGCCACCAGACCCCAACCAGATCTGTCAGTTTAGAAGGTCTTTGTGAAATATACAAGTACCCCTGAAATTGACAGATCCTCTTTTAATCTGACTGACAGAGTATCACAATGCGGTACGATATAGATGTACCCAGTTGCTTGTTGCTATTACAAATTGAACAGATTTTTTAAAATGTATTATAAGTTTTTATTATGTAATAAAGTCTTATCATGAAATGGCTTTGGATTCGTTACATTAGCATACACACTGATTAGCCACAACATTAAAAGCACATTCATAATATTGTGTACATCCCCCTTGTGCTGTCAAACCAGCTCTGATGCATGGACTCCACTAGACCTTTGAACGTGTCCAGTGGTATCTGGTACCAAGACATTAGAAGCAGATTATTTAAGTCCTGCAAGTTGTGAGGTGGGACCTCCATGGATTTAATATGTTGTTCCAGCACATCCCACAAATGCTCAATCAGATTGAGATCTGAGGAATTTGGAGGCCAAGGCAACGTCTTGAACTCTTTGTCATGTTCCTCATTCAATTTCTGAATATTTTTAGCACTGTGGCTAGGTGCTTTATCCTGCTGAACGAGGCCACTACCATCAGTGAACACCATTGCCATGAAGAGGTGGTCTGCAACAATGTCTATATAAGTGGTACAAGGTGGTCTGCAACAATGTCTAGGTAGGTGGTATGTGTCAGTAGAATCCACATGAATGCCAGTACCCAAAGTTTCCCAGCAAGACATTGCCGAGAGCATAACATTTCCTCAGCCAGCCTGCCTTCTTCCTATAGTGGATCCTGCTTCCATCTCTTCCCCAGGTAAATGATGCACCGCACCCGGCCCTCCACCTGAACTAAAAGGAAATGTGATTCATCAGACCAGGCAACCTTCTTCTATTTCTCCATGGTCCAGTTTTGATGCTCATGTCCCTGATAAGTTGTAATCAGGAAGGAAGCAATCCAAATAAATCTGCTTACTTTTGTACCTTGTGCGCCTGGATCATATTGCTTTTCACAACCCCATTATAGGCACTTTTTGTGGTGGACAGGGGTCATCATGGTAACTCTGTGTTCCTTTACCCATATACACTGCGACTAGAAAGCCCCATACGCAGCAAACTGTGATGCACTGTGTGTTATGACACCTTTATATTAAGATTTTCGTTAATTTGAGCTAGTTATGTGTCATCAGACCAAACTGCAGAATATATGTTTGGCCTTCGCTCCCTACTTGCATCAATGTGTCCTTAGACACTTATAACCCTGATGCCAGTTTACTGGTTGTCCTTCCTTGCACCACTTTTGGTAGTTATTACCACTGCATATCAGGTACATCCTAGAAGACTTGCCATCTTGGAGATGCTCTGACCCAATCATCTAGCCGTGATTATTTGGCTTTTGTCAAAGTCAGTCAGATCTTGTCACTTGCCCATTTTTCCTGCTTCCATCACATAAAATTCAAGAACTGACTGTTCACTTGCTGCCTCATATATCACACCCCCTGACAGGTGCCATTTTAGCAATATAATAAGTGTTATTCATTTCACTGGTCAGTGGTTTTAATGTTGTGTCCAAGGCTACCATCAGGGGGTGACAACCATGATGGTTGTCACAGGCCCCCTGGCCCTGGGGGGCCCGGCTGCCCGGGCCTCACGCGTAGCTGTGGAACTGCCGCATGCCACCCGATGGGCTCTATATATTCAGGGGCCCGGTCAGCAATAGCGCAACCAAGCCCCTGTAAAAAAATTGCAGCCGCAAGTACTGCTGGGAGGAAGTGAAGGCTGGTCACTTCCTCCCAGCTCACTCCGCACGGGAGGAGAGAAAGACAGGCCGCGAGGACAGGAGAGTCAGCCGGGTCCCATCAGCCCCGGCCACCCTCCTGCAAAGAACAGGTAAGAAAAATTAGCTATGTGTGTGTGTATGTCAGTATGTATGTGTATGTATCATGTATGTCCGTATGTATGTAGGTATGTCAGTATGTATGTATGTTAGTATGTATGTATGTCAGGATGTATGTATGTATGTATCTGTATGTATGTATATGTATGTATGTGTGTATGTATGTATGTGTATGTATTTCTGTATGTCAGTATTACCTGCTGTTATTTGGGGTTTTACGCCGCACCTCCTATAGACTGTAAGCTTGTGAGCAAGGCCCCCTTCAACCTATTGTTCCTGTAAGTTTTTGTAATTGTCTCATTTATTGTTAAAATTCCCCCTTTGATACTATTTTAAAGCGTTACGGAATATGCTGGCGCTATGTAAATACCAATAATAATAATAATAATAATGTTTATGTCTGTATGTATGTATGTTACTATGTATGTACATGTATTTCAGTCAGTATGTTTGTATGTATGTGTCTGTATGTGTGTGTATGTCAGTATGCATGTATGTATGTGTGTGTATGTCCTTATGAATGTGTCTGTATGTTTGTTACTATGTGTCTGTGTGTCTATTTCAGTAAGTGTGTGTCAGTATGTATGCCCGTATGTGTGTATATCTGTTTCAGTATGTGTGTCTGTTAGTATGTATGTGTGTGTGTCAGTATGTGTGTATCTTTGTGTGTGTGTATGTGTCCTTTTTGTATCAGTGTGTGTTTTTGACTATGTGTGTGTATTCCTGTAGACGGGATTTGGGGGCGGACTAGGAGGCGGCCCCCTGGGGGCCCAGACCTTGAGCAGTGTTAGGGGCCCCAGAATTTGTGATGGCGGCCCTGGTTGTGTCTGATCAGTGTGTGTATATATGTATACACATATATATAGAGCAATTACACACACTGAAGTGTAACGTGTGTTTCTCATAGGAGAAATTAAATACCTGTCCTGTACATAGCTGCTGTGAATAATTGCATTTCCTCTTTTATGCCAATGTAGCTAAACTGAAAAGCTGTTTTGAAGTAATATTCGAGATTCACCCATACAGTTTTGCCTTTAGTGAATAATTATCATGTCTGTCACAGTAGTCATAACTTCCTATCATTGTCTTTTACAATCCAGCTCTGCTCCACAGCTCCACCATGCATCCCCCTTATCTGCTGTCTTTATCACCCCTATCTCTTGCAAGATTATAAACTCAGATCAACAGGGCTCTCAATCCTTCTGTACCACTCTGTAAATATGTGAATGTTAAGTTAAACTTTATGTAATGTTTGGTAAATGTCAGCTTTGCGGTAACTTGGTTATATTATACAGGGCTGAGGAATCTGATTGCACTTTGTAACAAATAAATAATTGAGTACGTAAGGAGAAATTTCTGCTGATAATTGCTTTTGTCCCCAGGCCTACCGGACAATCTGGCTTCCCTTCCCATGCAAGCACGCAGACTATACACACCTACTACTGTTATTCTGTTTCTTGATAGTTATCTCAGAGATTGGAATATTACCTTTACTGTTAAATGACTACGTGCATTACTGGAGCTGCGGCCTGGTGATGTCATCAAGCAGCACTTCAAATTGTTTCAATTCTTTCCAACCCCATTAAAGTGCTTCAGGTATTGCTTCAGCAAGCTCCACAGTACACTATGTCCTTGGTAATCCCATTACATTTTCTGGTCAATAAACTATTTTACCGTGCATCTGAGCTTGCTATCTTTAGGATATAATGTTTCCTAAAGATAATGAATTTCCTTCATGCTCTTTTATCTTAATGCTATCCTCCTGTTAGGATGGGCTGATAAACACAGTGATAAATTTATTACTGGGCCTTAGAATGGTCAGATTTAACATATAAAGAATAGTCAGAAGTCAGGAACACAGACAGGAGCATAAACGAGGAGACAAAGCCAAAGGGTCAGGGATACCAGAAATACGGATAGTCAGAACAAGCCAGGATAAAAAAACAGAATAACAATATACCAAACGCTCTCTCGGATAACCAAAGTAGTGGAAACCACAACAGGGCACTGAACACTAGCAGGTCTGGATTTAAATAGCCCCAAAACCCTGCTCATTGGTCAAAATGGGACCTATGACCCCAAAACGTGTGTGCGTTGCATGCACGTTTATATCACATATGACGTTTTTGTGGGGCAGCGCTAGTTAATAGCGCGGGACTGTACAGGCCGGTGTCCTCCAATAACGCTTGACCCAGCCGCTACACCAGACGCCGCTCAGAGAGAGAGGGCCTGCCGATTAGGTGAGTAACCTCTCCCTCATGCACCGATCGGTTGTAGCCACATGGTAGCCATTCATTAATTGCCTGGAATTAAGAAAAAGAGTTTTGATTCATGTATATTATTATTTTTATTATTATTTCCTTTACTTATACTGCTGGAAAGCCCAAAGGCTAGTTTGCACCGTTTCCAATAGGGTAACTTTACCTTGATCCTACTGAAAAGCAAAATTAGCATACTAAGAAAGATTTTTTAAAAAATGATTTAAAAAAAAGTGATAGAAAAATCAAAACAATTTTAAGATGTTTAATTTTGTCAGCTTGTTCTTATGAAATGTATTGAGTAGTGGTGCTGTAACTGGTTAATGACTGCTTGAACATTATCAGAAAAGTAACTCACAACAGCTGGAGTTCTGAAGGTTAGCAGTCACTGCTATTAAGTGTTTAGGAGGGTTGTCAGTTCTGTCCCACTGGTATTCATGTTATGTTTCCTTTGCTAGGTTGATATGTCGATATGTGGCTGCTGTGTACATCCTCTTCCTCCTGTGGATTGGTCCATCTTCCTGCCAGGTACAATTTTCAGGAAAACATTCGAATTAGCAATGCCAAAAGAACACTCACACTTTCTAGAGCTAATATAGCTCAATTTCTATATAATCTCCATCTGTGGTTATAGTGGTAAAATCCAGGAGTCTTGGCCAAGACTTATAAATTATACCAGGGCTTGACAAATTTGTTTGGAATCTATGAGCCAGCTAAAAAAGTTAGGAGCCAGTTATTTTCAACAAGAAAGTGCAATTCTTAAAGGGCCACTTTAGTCACCAGAACTACTACAGCTTGATGTAGTTGTTCTGGTGTCTATAGCCTGTCCCTGCAGGTGTTTCAGTGTAAACATTGCCTTTTCTGTGAAAAGGCAGTGGTTACATTGCTGCTTAATAACACCTCTAGTGACAGTCACTCAGATGGCCACTAGAGAGTCCTGGGTCACCCAGGTTCAGTGTCTCCAAACTCTGCATGGAGGCGCTGAATGTTCCTCATAGAGATTGATTAATTTAATGCATCTCTATGAGGAGATGCGGCTTGGTACATTTCCTGCGCATGATAATCTCAGCCATGGCAAAACTGGCACGGCGTGGGAAAATGGGGAAAACGGTGAGTAAAAATACCTTCCTCAGGGGGCAGGAGGGGGCAGGTACCTAAACGGGCACACACACACTGACAGGCGCACACACTCTGACAGGCTCTCACACACACACTCTGTCATGCTCACATACACACTCACGCTGACAATAGGCTTGCATGCACATACTTTGACAGGCTCACACACACTCTTACACTGACAACAGGTTTGCACGCACACACTCTGACAGACTTGCACACACTTGCACACTCTGCCTGTAGCTCCTCCCTGCTCCCTCGCACTCTGTAATGATCCTGGGGCTGGTATGACGTAATATTCTGGCTCCCGGCATCATTAGACAGCGCAAGGGAGCAGAGAGAAGCTGCAGGCTGCAGTACAGTTCCCTTGTGCGCTGCCCACATTGCTACCGCAGGCAGCCGCCTCCAATATTCCCCATGACGCATCAAAGCTCCCTCCCACACTTCCTAGACAGCTTGCAAATCCCAGGTGCCAGGGCGAAATTTCTAGTCGCCGTGTCGATCTGGCGCCTGGGATTTGTCGAGCCCTGTATTATACTGTAGTGCACCATTATATTTTTCTGTATTTTTCTGTTACGATACACCTTATGAAGGTCCTTTCTAATGGTGGATGTAACTTCCATTTTTTTTATACTGTTTTTAAGCGTGATTCACTGCTTTAGTGTTACCCCAAAATCTACCACTATTTTGCACTGAACTGGTCAAGGTCCGAGAAATAACTCAACAGCCCTATCTTAAACAGCTCTGTCATCACCGACTCACATATCTGAGTTTATAGATGAGTTCAAAGTACAGGCCTGTCTGAGAGCTCTCAAAGTCCACTACTCTGTATACTCCAGTCAGAAAGAAAATAAAAGCTTTGATCTGGTAGACTCTGATAGAAAACGTTAAACATCATGTTTACTTGCATGGTGCACAGAGTCATTCTCCATTTTTTCAATGAAATCATAAGCTGTCAATGAATCTTGCTACAAAAAATGTGTGTTTAATTGTCAGAAAGGTATATGTCAGTCTTAGAGTGTAATCAGAATGTACCAATAATAATTTATTGATTACTTTAAAAGGATCTCTAAGCATATTAAGCTATACACTGTGTTGTAGTGGTTATCGTACAAAGATTATTTGGCTCCAGTAATTCCAGTTTTGTCAAATTGTTTGATAAAATATCATGGTAGTTTGAGAACAAATGAGGTTCTCCAGGCCACTAAGCCTACACTCGCTTTTACCCCCAAAATAATGAGGAATTTCACTCCCTCAGTATCTATCAAAATTTGGATGGCAGTGATAGGCTTTGAATGCTAAATGTGGCTTTTACCAGTGGCCACAGCCTATCATTGCCTTCCAAATTTTATTTTGACAAAATAAAAACCCAGGCAAAATTAAAACAGAAATATTGCACCCAAGTACTCCTTACACCATAACCACTCAAATAGGCTGCAGTGATTATGGTGCTTACAATGTCCTGTTATGTGAGTTGTGTCCCTGACAAAGTTCTTTTTTTGGTCTACTGTTTACCTCTTCTGGCATAGCCCTTAGTTTAATATTGTTTGATTTAAAATTTATTGAATCCTAATCCTAAAGATAAAATGAGTTAATATTATGAAGAATATTTACATTTTGGAATATTTTGATTTAGTTTCTAATGTATAGATTTTTTTTTATATAGGATATATTTTTGTCATTTTAATATGCTGAAAAAAGGGTTATTTTAAAAGATTAGCCAGAAATCTCAAATAATTTGGTAAGCTTATCCAACAATATTAAATCAATGCCATAATTCAGTCACATTATTAAATATGGGAGCAGGCATTTTGCTTTGAGAGGTCGGCTAAAACAGAGGCCAACTTTCATGATAACATTACTTGTTAACCGTACATGTCATTGATCTCACTTAAAATTCATGTTATGATTGAACTTCAAAGTAGTCTATCATAACAAACACATAGTTGGTTTTATTTTTAACTTTTGATAAAGGCATCAGAACTATTTCAGCGGCAGAAGGCATGAAAAAAAATAGTGGCGTTACTCTGTAACTATTTTACTGGTTTCAGTATTTATGTGAAAAGAAGATTAATGTCAGACACAAAATAAGAGTTATAATAACATAAACAAAAGATACACTACACAGTGCATTAAAAAGGTTTAGAGCTAGGTCCCTTTATTTCTCATCAACATTTAGTCTTCTTTTATACCGGGTGGTCTTTTATCCCAGACAGGGAATGATATACAGAGAGGAATAAGGTGGGAGACTAAATAAAATATATTAATTACATGTCTTTGTGACATACCGTATATACTCGTGTATAAGTCGATCTCGTGTATAAGTCTAGTGCAGTTTTGTGACCAACAATTGTGAAATATGCTATGCCTCGTGGATAAGTCGAGGGTAAAACTTGGGGCTATGAAATTCTGTGATTTTTATAATTATATACACACACACTCATACAAACACACACACTGCATTATATACACACACACTCATACAAACTCACACTCTGCATTATATACACACACACTCTCATACAAACACACACTCTACATTATATACACACACTCTGTGTATATAATGCAGAGTGTGTGTTTGTGTAGTGTGTGTGAACTGGGTGGGGGGAGGGCATTTTTATTATTTAATTTTTTTTTAATTTTAATATTATTATTTTTTTATAATTTTAATTTTTTTTGTCCCCCCCTCCCTGCTTGTTAACTGGTCAGGGAGGGGGGCTATCTTAATCCCTGGTGGTTCAGTGGCATGGGCTGTGAAGAGGGGGGGCCAGCAGGAAGCATTTACTTACCTTTCCTGCAGCTCCTGTCAGCTCCCTTCTCCTCCATTCTGGTCAGCTCCACTGTAAGTCTTGCGGTCTGGTTGCCGCGCGGATCGTTGCCATGGCTCTGACGGCCGCGGCTCTCTAAGTTGCTATAATACAGACAGTGACTCGAGTATAAGTCGAGTGGGGGTTTTTAAGCACAAAAAATGTGCTGAAAAACTAGACTTATACTCAAGTATATACTGTAACTAAAATGTATTGAATTATATCACAAGTTACACAAAATTCTCTGTAATAAAATGTCAAATGATTTTGGTCACATGGCAATTGGTGTTTTAGAAAGATCCCATTTTCAGATGTACTTACTCCATGAAACAGATTTCAAGTCTGTACATATAAATGAGTATCATGCTGGGTTTTTTTTTGGGGGGGGGGGTTTGTTTTTGTTTTTAACTCTCCCCCGAAACTGTTTGATTTGAGAGTAGGGCCAAAACCTTCCCTGTGGTTGCAGGTTTATATAGCCCGTTATTGTTATATTTTGACATTTATATAGCACCAGTTTATTTTGCAGCACTTTACAATATATAAAATGGGATAATTTTAACAATAAATGAATCAATTACAAAATGTTCCATGAGCAATAGATTTTGCAATGATGGCTAAATCTTGGGGTTCCATCTGTGGTAAAAGAGTGTTGGGGCATTTTATGGCTCATATTAAACAGCCAGATAGTAGTGTGAACTTGTTTTATTATCTTCATTCACCCGATACATTTTTTCTCTGTGCTTTAAAAACAAGACACACTGGCCAGTTCTGTTATTGTATTCCCCTGGATAAATTAGGCCTCTTCTTTTCAAGAGAGTTGTCTTGAGAGATTGTTTTGTGTGAGTAGCTATCCTGAGTTTATTTTGAAATCCCTAATTCCTTATCCAAATACTTTTAGTCCAAGCCAATAAGAAAAGCTCTTTTTAGCCCTCGGGCTAGATACTCAACAACACTGTCATAGAGAGAAAGCTAGCTAAAATGACCAGGCACTTGATAAGGATCATGCTTTGGCTGTCTATTGTATTGAGTTTGCATAGTTTATACAGCCAACAGACGTTAGACTCCAGTTTCAAAACAACATATACAGGTGCAACAATTTCAGCTTCATAATAATTATCATAAGTCTTTAAAATATGTGTATGCTATGTGTTTTTGTTCTGTTAGGTACAGAGGACGCCATATCACAGAGGAGCAGTCAACCTATACGGCCCTGAGCACAGCCCCCCTCTGGCCTCCAGTAATGATTGGAGTTCATGGCAAAGTTGGTCCCCGTGTTCCCGAACCTGTGGTGGGGGAGCTGCAGTGCGCACCAGGCAGTGCCTAATCCGGTAATACATCATCCTATTTTAGTGATGTGTAATGAAATGGACTAATAGAAAATTCCTAAACACTTTCTGAAACCTAACCTAGATATTCTTATCCCCTGCTCTGTTAATAGCCTTCTAGACCCTGCAGGAACCTCCTGTGTGTGATTAAAGTTCAATTTACAGAGCAGGAAATAAAAATGTCCAAAGTAAATTACATCTGATTAAAAATGAAAACCTTTTTTTCATGCAGACTGTGTCAGCCACAAAAGTTCTTAAAGTTTTGATGTATAAATCATGCCCCTGTATAGGGCCAGATTAAGAGCCTAGTGGGCCTGGTGCTGACAATTATGATGAGCCTAATTACAAAATCTTATTGACCAAAAACACTAAAATAGTCCTACCTCCTAAGCGTCATGTATCTGATGGAGATGGTGCTGGAGGGAAACTCATAGGATGCAGCCATGAGAAAATACATACCCTATGCTAATCTCATGCTTTCATCTTTCAAGAAAACCCATACCTCCTAACAGCAGTGTCCAGTAAAGCAGGAAGTCTATGGATGGGGTAAAAGGGTGGGCAACTGACACAAATCACATAACAGGAACTGCCGAAAGGGACGAACATACACAAAAAGGGGGCATATCTATGTCCCTATGTCTCCCAGTCCCTTAGTGTCTGTGTCCCCATGTCACTAGGGCACTAGGGGACATTGAGAGACATTGGAACACTGGGAGACATGGGGACACTGAGATACTAGGGAACACTGGGAGACCTGGGGACACCGAGACTCTTGGGGACACTGGGAGACATGGAGAAATGGGGACACTGGGTGACTTTGGGACACAAGGGGACACTGGGAGACATGGGGCACTGAGAAACTATGATACATAGGGGACACTGTGATATATAGGGGACACTGGAGACTTGATAAAGACCTGGGTACAGGTCAAAATGTTGTGCTGTCCTATAAACCTGCTTAAATCTATCACAGTGAGTGCCTGAGATTTTTTTCTTCTATGCTAGGGGACACTGAGACACTTGGGGGCACTGTGAGACATGGGGACACTGAGAGACTAGCGGATTCTGAGAGACTAGGGGACACTGAGACACTAAGGACACTGAGAAACTACAGATACTGAGAGACACCAGGGACACTGGGAGACATGGGGCACTGAGATACTCTGCTACATAGGGGACACTGTGATACATAGGGGACACTGGGGACTTGATAAAGACCTCGGTACAGGTCAAAATGTTGCGGTGTCCAATAAACCTGCTTAATTCTATCACAGTGAGTGCCTGAGATTTTCTTTTGTACTAGGGGACACTGAGACAGTGGGAGACATGGGGACACTGGGAGACTAGGGGACTTTGGGAGACTAGGAAACACTGAGACACTAGGGACACTGGCACACTGTGGACATTGAGAGACACCAGGGACACTGGGAGACATGGGGATACTGAGATACTAGGTACACTGGCTGGGAGACATGGGGACACTGGGAGTGCCCCATGTCTCCCAGGTCTCAAAGTCGCCCAGTGCCCCCATGCCTCTGTGTGTCCCCATGTCTCCCTGTGTCCCCATGTCTCTCAGTGTCCCGTAGTATCTCAGTGTCCCCATGTCGCCCAGTGTCCCCTAGTGTTTGTATCCCCATGTCTCCTAGTGTCCCTCAGAGTCTGTGTCCCCATGTCTCCCAGTGTCCCAATGTCACTAGGACACTAGGGGACACTTAGAGACATTGGGACACTGAGAGACTAGGGGCCACTGAGAGACATGGGGCCAGTGTGTCCCTAGTGTCTCAGGGTCCCCATGTTCCCCAGTGTCCCTATGTCTCCCAATGTCTCAGCGTCCCCAAGTCTCTCACCGTCCCCATGTCTCGCAGGCTCGGAGCTGCTGTCTGCACTCTCTGTGCAGAGTTGCTCCCCCGCAGGTCAGTGAGTAGAGAGAGGCAGGGAGGGAGATGCTGTAACTTCTTATCTCTGCCTCTCTCCACACAAACAGCGCTGGTATTGCAGAATAATCTCTGTTTATACTGAAACAGTCATTTGTATTGCCGGTATTACTGCAATAGCGGCACCGGCTAGGCAGCCTTAAATACCTGAGAAATACTTCTGAGAAATACCTGGCAACCATAAGAAATACATGAGAAATACCTGGCATCCCTAAGAGTAGTGTGTGTAAAAAATAAATAAAAAAATGGGCCTATTCCATGGGCCTGGGCCTGGAGCTGCAGCTCCATCAGCCCCTATGTTAATCCTGCCCTGCCCCTGTAGTCTTACTGCTCAATGCTCTGTCATTTAGGATTTTAATTACTTTGTTTATGCAGTCCCAGGCACTCCTCCCTGCATTGTCATCTAACATTTATACTTTCTGTATTCCTTTATTGTTATTTTAATGTAGAATTTCTTATCTTCTGCTCTGTTAATAGCTTGCAAGATCCTGCAGGAGTCACCTGTATGTAATTCAAATGACAGAGCAGTAGATAAAAAATGTTAACGTAAGTTACATCTGATTGAAAATGAAACCATTATGTTTTCATGCAGGCTGTGTTAGTTACAGACAGTAGATGTGTGTCTTGTACTGCATAAACAGAAACAAAAGTTATTTAACTCCAAAATGGAAGAGTGTTGAGCAGTGAGAATACAGGGATAATGTAGGAAAGTTGTTTTGATGTCTCTGGTGTCCCTTTTATTGTTGATTCACTATGTAAATTTTAATTGTTTAACTACTGTACTTGCAACAAAAATAAATACAAAATTGGAGAAGTTCCCTGCTTTAAGGAACCTGCTGGCTTTTTGGGAAGGCAGAGTTCACCAAATACCAGCAGACTATCCGCTCATGATAATTGCAGACTGAAAGTACTTTGAACCAAACAAAACTTGGGAACAGCATTATGGAGGGCACTGTCTGCAACTATTGCAGCTTATATAGAGACCCCAAAATAGTTTGCTCCCAAACTCTCCCTGGCTGCTACCGAGCTTCACTGTACTTGAGGTTGGAGGGGGCATCATTCACAGCAAGTCTGTGTGATGCAGAGAAACTGACAGGAGACGTCACTTAGCATGGATTGGGAAAGTAGGGTTTATATTGTAAAATTCAGTTTTGCATGTTAAATCAGTACAAAACAAACACTTTGTATACTTAGATTGGGATGGAAGAGGTTACATGTCTTGTGTTTTTATTTTGTTCTTTTTACCTTATCTGTACCTGCAATTATACCATGTAGAGGGAACAAAATATCTCTGCTCTACCTAGTAAATCTGCATTGTGTCACAAGCCATGATTTACACATACGCGTGTTCTCTCCTGCAGAATTCTCTTAAAGGAATTTATAAACATGTCTTAAAATCAAGTGAAACTATCTATTCTTGTAAAAAGATTTTTTTTATTATATTGTTCTGAACATGCAACATTAACCCTCTTGACAACAGTATTCCATCATTCTGAGCTCTAGTGATTTACTGCTCTATTCCTCATAGAGATCCATTGGGCCCACCATGCCACGGAGACCAGAGACAGTACCAGGTTTGCAATGTGAAGGTGAGGATCTTCTCAAACGTCAGTGCTAAAACAAACATACAAATGTTTCTAGGATCTTTAAATATTAAATTATTGAATTCACATAGCCCACTGTGATATAGAGGAAATGGTACATGACTAAGTCCTCTGGGCCAAAACATTGTATCTTTTTTTGTCCTTTTTGATTTCCAATAAATAATTTTCTGCATTCACCCTACATTGTGACGCCTGTGGAGCTCTACTTCTAAGTGATAATATCCTTATCAACCAAAAAACCTATTGCTGCCTCTTTAATGCAGGTATCTGAACGCAAAATACATTTTTGTATTGTCATATATTCCTCGGCATTCTCTAAAAAGTTTGTCATCTGTTAGCACTCCCTAAACTTGGCCAGCAAAAATATTGCCTCCTTCAGTATGGAAAACATCAAGGAATTTGTATAAACCGTTCTGTGCTCTGAAAAGTGGTCTAAAATACTAAATGTGGGGCAGTCACCATGGAAACTAGAGGACCAGTATGCACGTTTCATTGCTGACTTTTCCCCTTTTTTATGTTTGCACCACTTTTCAAAGCATGACACTCTTTATACATAACTCTCTGTATCTATTAGAGCTGTGATCCTTTAGAGGAAACTAACACTTTTAGGAGGCCTCTTTTGGCCAGGAATGTCCCCAGGTCCGGATTTCAGAAAAGGTGATTTAATAAGGAAAAAAATATGGTTCTAATATAAAATGAAATAAATAAAATATATTAATTAAGAGACCCCCCCGTGAATTTGTTTTTGTGTGTGTGTGTGTAAGAAAACTCTCAACAAAGCTATTGAATCATGTTACAGTTTGCTTTGATGAACAAATCTTTATTTAAACTTGTAAAATACTTCTTGCATAGGACTGTCCATCAGGAGTGAGTGATTTCAGACATTTTCAGTGCTCCGCTTACAACCACAAGCCTTTAATGGGAACTTACTACAGATGGACTCCCTTTCACTCAGGTAACTACATTATCCTGTCTCTAAGACCACATCCTTAAATAAACTTTTCTCACGCAAAGGCAAGAAAGACATTCCTAGTAAAGAGACCAAGCACTAATTATAATCTTATTTTTTTGTAATTTAATATATTTTTCCCGGAGGTAAAAAACTGCAACGCGTTCCTTTAAAAAGTCCCTTGAGATTTCCCACACATTAAAAAAATTTCTGGTCATTTTTACCTTACACCCAAATATATATGATATATTATTATATAAAATCCTTTATTGTTTTTGATATCTGCATTTATGATATTTTGATATATTGAAAAACATAACAAAATAACGCTCTGAGAGAGAAGCTGCCGGTTTGTTTCTAACGGGTCTTCTCAGAGGCCGTTTTACTGATATTTTTTCTTGGAACCAGAAATATAAAATGAGAGACCATTTCATCTCGTTTAGAGAGCACTTTATTATATTAACACTGCTTGTAAATGGTTTTATAAAGAACAACTGGTTTGCGTTTAATATATTACAGAGGCTTTCTTCTTGGCCTACCTGAAAATAAACAAGAAATTTAAAATGGCTGCTCTTTCATGTTTTGTCTTGCTAATGTCATTAAAGCACCACTATTTGACAATTTATAAGGCTAGAGGCAATGTATAATTTAATTACTCTTCAATTACTTGGGGATGCAATTACTTTTTCAGAGTTTTCTTTAATCTACTACTTCACTTCCAATTTTAATTTAGTCTGCTGTCAAATGCCATATTTATTATTATCATTAAAAGTCTTGTTATATATTTTTGTTATATTACTCCACTATTGGTTCTGGTCCTGCCAACAATTTTTTCTTACTTCTTTCTCCTCTAATCCTATTCTGTCCTGCCTTTCTTTCCTTTAATACAATGTTACCTTGCAGCGTTATCTTAATATTACTGTACCCTAGAATATCAATATTGCCTACTTAACTCCCATTTGATTAATAGATTTTTTTTATATGTAAATTAACATGGGGGTATACTAAACAAATTCATTAAAAAGAATAACGCCTATAAAAAGTAATTTTTATTCCCGGTAACTAATCCTGCTTACTTTCAAATACCTTAACAATTATATGCTGTCATTAAATCGTTGTCTGCTGATGTTTCCTCGATCTAACCCATCCGTCTGTCAGTACCTTAAGCTTGTCACGCTCTTCCTCCTGAATCATACACAAATACAAGACTATTCTTGTGCTGTTACTACTTTGTAAAATTCCTTAGCTTTCTGTGTGAGATCTTCCTGAATTCTTATATTTTAAGGGTTGTTTAAAAACTCACCTGATGTGCTTTGAAACTGCCCTTGAATTTTAAAAAAATGGTACTTGTCATTAGGAGCACTTTACATAGGCTTCATGCAAGACACAGTCCTTTCCTTGTAGCTGGTGTCTCTTTGACTTGCCCTTATTTTTGTGGTCTGTGATTGTTGTGCCTGGTTGTTCCAGTGGTTGCACTTCATGTTTATTCTAGTGGTTGACCTCCCTGTTTGATCTACAGGTATAAAAACTCAACAAAAATATCAAGGCTAATTAAGGGATCAAATGACTCTGTCAATTATCACCAAGAAAAATAAGTGTATTATCAATACCCTATGACATTATATAACCCTTATAATATGTACATTTAGGCCAGAAGACAGCTCTTTTGCTTTTGTACATCAACAGCATTTGCTTAATCTGCACAACATAAGCAATTCAATTTATAGTCTCAAAATGTCTATTTTTATGTTGAACAATCCCCATAATTCAGTCTCCTTCTTAACCCATATTGATAACCCTCTCAGTCCTATTTATCTCACCTCATTATTGCCTTTCGTTTATTACCCGTTGTTCACTAGTTCACCATCATCACCCCTACACCTGTTGGTCCTTCCCTAATACCAGTCAGGCTCTATGCTAATAAAATATGTAATTGTGGAGCGTATTCACACTAATCAATGTAAATCACATTCAATAAGGCGGCTGTTTAAAAATGAAAATATATTCTCCTTCTCTTTCTTATTATATTCCTCTGACCAATGAACCTCACTTTGTACCCTATGTTCCTGAACTGTCCATGTCCTTGGATCATCAAAAAAAACAAAAAAAAACGTTTAAATGTATACTTAATTCTAATTAATTATTTTTAATTTTGTCCCTTATCATGGCTACACGCAGGTGTCCAAATGAACATTTCTGTGTTGTTTTATGTAATGATCAGGTGTTAGAACACACATCATTCTCAACATTTCAGCATCTTCACTTTTCTGTTTCCTAAAAAGGACAAAGTGACTGTGAGCTCAGCTGTTTGGCACAAGGGCAAAATTTCTATTATAATTTTGGCCGGGTTTTGGATGGTACATCATGCCGCACAGATTATGATGGGATCTGTATCAATGGGCAGTGCTTGGTAAGTTTACTGAGATGTTTTCTAAGGAGGGCAGTAATCTTTAATATAAAACTTATACCAAATGCAAGATAACCATGGGATGAAGAACTGTTCAAATTTCCCATTTTCAGTAATACTGTTTGCTACCTGACATTTCTATCATTTTGTGGCCTTTAAATTGCAAAAGGAACAAAGGTTTAGGTAAAGTATTCTAACCATATTTTTGTCTCCTTTGCTTAGTGTAACTTGTACTTATTATGTATGTGTATGAATGTATGTAAAAAATTAGTAAATGTAAAATAAGTTTAAAACTCAAATTAATTGCAAGGAATGCACTGATCTCAAAACTGTGAAATAATCTATTAACAGTTGTTGTACAATTACATTTCCCATGATTTGTTTCCACTTATTATGCCACTGACTGTAGATTACCTATAGGCTGGCAATGTATCAATCCAACTGCTGAAAAGGTATCTGTACCCCTGATCAATTTTTATTTTTTTTTATAACCCAAATTTCTCAATAATTTCCATAAGTGTAATTACCAAATTAAAGGGACACTATAGACACCCAGTCCACTTCATCTCATTGACGTGATCTGGGTGGTGTCCCCTGTCCTCTTAACCCTGCAAGCGGAAACATTACAGTTTCATAGAAACTGCAATCTTTATAGCAGGATTAAGACAACACTTCCTGGCTTCTCACACAGTTTAAAGGGATACTATAGTCACCAGAACAACTACAGCTTAATGTAGTTGCTCTGGTGAGTATAATAGCTCCCTTCAGGCATTTTCATGTAAACACTGCCTTTTCATAGAAAAGGCAGTGTTTACATTGCCCCTTTAGGGACACCTCCAAGTGGCCACTTCTTGCTCAGTAGGCAACCCTGCCATTCAGTGTCCCCACGCTCGTTATTGATTCAATGGTTTCCTATGGTAAAGCTCTAATGCCTGCTCTGATGCCTGCGCAGCAGATGCTCATTAGGTTTCTCCATCATTGTAACATTGCTGGAGTAGGAGATCGATCCAGCGGCGAGGGACCTTAGGTGAGTGTTTAAAGGGGTGGGTCTTAAGTTAGGGACAGAGGCATAGTATAGCTTTAGGAATACAGTTTTTAATTCTTAATGCTTTAGTATTCCTTTAACTAATTTTCAGTAGAGCAGCACTATAAAAATAAGTTACAATTTCTAATTGTAATGTTTCTTTTTAAAGTTCTGAATAGAAATATTTGCAGAATAATTTTACATTTTGGCAGCTCTGGAGATGTCTCCTTATTCTGTAAAATTGTTATATAACACTCGTAATAACATAAGACTTTTATTTATGTTTTGTTTTGTATCAGCAAGTCGGCTGTGACCTTATCCTGGGATCCGATGAGAAGACAGATATCTGTGGTGTTTGTGGAGGAAAGAATGCTTCTTGCAGACATCACCGCAGTATCTACACTACCAAATATCCAACTTCCGGTAACTGTCTCAATCATTTTTCTGTAGCTTATTTCTATGCTACACATCGGTAATCATTGATATTTTTATTCCTCTACATACTTTGCTGGATGCATGCAAAGAGTTACAATAAATAAAAATGTATGCCTAAGTGCATTTCTTTCATTGTTTCTTTAATTTTATTTGAAGACAAACCAGTGTTTGCTAATTGTTTCCTGTACTTTGGATCATTTCAAGGCTAATTTGTTTAGCCGACAAATTGTTTCAAAGCAGTTTAGCACATTCAGAGTGAATCTCCAAATCTCCTTCAGAACTGCTTTTAGTAAATTCCTGAATGGCATAGTTGGGTCAATTTTGAAACTTGGTGTTACTTTCTGATCTTTTACCCCCAAAAGTTGTATCTTTATTTATATTTTGGAGACACCATGTTCTGTGGTTTTGAAGCGATATTGACATGATTCACCTTCCATTCATTTTACTGTACAGACCACAAGGATTAATTTTTGTTTCAGTGTAAAATGGCATTTCACGTTGTGTCTTTGCATCTTTATCATTAGTGGCACAATATTTAGTCTCGCACATCCTGTAGCCATGGTCTGTTTACAGAACACTGAATTTTCTTCCTACAGATATCTGTAATTGTGTTACAATCTTGCCTTCCCATGTATCTGATGGGATTAATCATGGTTATCTGTTGCCTTTTTCTCTGGTACTAAAAAGAGTGAATGGGTGTTTAACCTTTGATTCACTATTCGGTGTGTATGTCATACCTGTTTGTTGGAAGACTGCTAGATGACAAGAACATTGTTGGACATTGATGGTCCTGGGAGGATTCACTGAAATTATGAGAAATTGTCTTCCACACTAAAACATATTTATAGAACTTGTGTTTTACCCTTCTGCCCAGCAAACCATGAAGTAAAATGTATTCTGCTCTGTAACAAATTAGGTCATTTTACTAAGCGGTGAAAGCTTCTTTCTACTCTGCAGACCCGTTATCATCCTAATATGATGATCATCTGTAGAACAACACTGGAGTGTTGACCCAATATCATCACTTTAGTTGGTCTAATGTTGTTGCTTGCATCCTGGATGCCTGCCATCGTCAATCTATTACATCACTGGCTTTAGTACACACGTTGTAATAACCTGACTAGACACGAGATACTTCATATCTGTCTCTGTATTCTACCAACATTCCATTTGCTGTTGTTGTAAGGAACACTCCCTTTCTCAGAGACTTCAAGTGTCAGCTTTCTGGCTGCTTGGAAAGCTGGGGATTATGTTTATTCCTATTGTTGAATGTCTGTATTTTTTCTGGATGTCAAACACCTTTATTATTTATAAAGCTAGTGAAAAGAACAGGGGAAGCAAAGCTAAATTATCGCTCATGACACATGACATTAGCTTGCCAAGTGCACTCTTTGACAAATGCTTTTTTTCCAGATTTTTGTTGCTCATGATAGAATGTTAGTTATTTGTACAGGGCTATTCTAAAAATGACTCTTTTCTATCACATAGTTGCCCTTGCTGGTCATATCACCCATTCTGTATCTTTTGTGGGGGTACAGGGCATTGTGACCTATCCGGGTTAACTGGAGATCTATGCTGTTGGTGGCACATGTCTCCAGCACACAACAGCTACCCTCTATTAGTGTCACATATTCATCCGCTTATAGAAATGTGGTTAATGACATTTACTGTCCACACAGGAAAAGTTGTGCCGAGCAGCAACCTAATCCACAGAAGGGTTAATGCTGAGCAGTAATTGTGCAAATGAAACCTGGTGTCATGTATTCATCCGCTTAGAGAAAAGTGATTAATGACATTTACTGTCCACACATGAAAAGTTGTGCCGAGCAGCAACCTAATGCACAGAAGGGTTAATGCTGAGCAGCAATTGTGCAAATGAAACCTGGTGTTATGTATTCATCCGCTTAGAGAAAAGTGATTAATGACATTTACTGTCCACACATGAAAAGTTGTGCCGAGCAGCAACCTAATCCACAGAAGGGTTAATGCTGAGCAGCAATTATGCAAATTAAACCTGGTAACTGACTTTGGGGTCAAAGGCCGGTTACAGCCTATCAGAACTAAAGGAGGGGTATTTAGGCCCAGTTCTCAGCCTGCTCAGTGCCCTGTCGTGGTTTCCCTTGTGGTTGTCCGAGAGCGCGTTCCTGTTTATAGTTTTCTACCTGGTTTTTTACTTTGGCTTTGTTTATTGACTTCTCTATATTCTGGTATCCTGACTCCTGGCTTTCCTCATCGCTGTGTCCCTTTCTGTGTTCCCTGACCTCGGCTAGTATTTTTGACTATTCTTTGTACGTTAAATCCGGCCATTCTAAGGACCGGTAATACGTTACTTATTTGTCATCCGTGCTGTACAGTTCTACGTGCTGGATCAAACAGTAATCCTGACAATTAGTGACTGATGATACAGTGGCTTTAAAAATTATCATGGCTCTCCATTTCTTCAAAGTGAAAGCATAGAAGAAATATCCACAAGGGACATGGATTTGAACAAACTCTTTAATCAATATATTGAGATGGTTTGTAGGTAATGTACACACAGACAAATTGTGACCCAAAACGTTATGCCTCTCATTTTTTAATGTAATAGCAAATGTGTTGGGGGCAGCTATGATAAGACACCATTTCCCATGGTAATGGAATCTCTGCTTATCTTCTGTTCGGTGGGAATGCATGGTAGTATTTTGTCTTCAAAGTAAAAAAGTATCTTTGCCACCATGAACATGGATATTGTGTCCATGCTGGTTCCCACTTGATAACCCAGGATTGTGCATACAGTCTTTACTGCTATCTAGAAAGGTCTTCAAAATACATTTCAAGTGCTTGGTTCCTTTGCTTTTCCCTAAATCTCCAAAATCTCACTCCATAATTGTCATTTTCAGGGCTCTTTGGATACAGTGAGGTGACCATGATTCCTGCAGGTGCTACTCACATCAAAGTGATGGACAGGAGTAACAACTACCTGGGTAAGTGTCTGCTTCTGGACGATCTCCATTAGTGTGTTACTAATTATAGGAATGTAAAGTTACTGTACAATCAATGTATGCATGAACAAAACAAGATGATGTAAGGTGCTGGAAGGGTATTCTCTACATACAATAAGACTACAAAAGAGAAATGTATTTCATCTGCATCTGATACACTTGGTCTTGTGCCACTTAATGTAATATGTTATATAAGGAGTCGCGTAGTTAAGTGTGACACACCTGCAACAAGTTCTGATATGTTTGTTGCTAGTTATTAAAAACTAATTTAAAACATTTCAGTCAAACAAATTTTCTGCCATTATTCATTAAAAAGCCAAGGGTAATAGACAAATATTTGAAGTGATCTCCTGTTTGAGGCATCCATGATTCTCATCTTTTCCTCTTCCATTCCGTGCTATCTTGTCACCGCTTGTGATTTCGTCTAACTTTCGAAACCATGCATTTCTTTCAAGTTTCTGATCCTGAGCCCTTCAAACTCACATCATCTTCTTCCCTTTCATATATCTGTCCTCATTTATTACATAGTGGAGTCTGTAGGAGGATAGCAGGTGGTACCATCAAGAAGGCATAATGAATAAAGTGTGTCATGAAGGGGTTGGCAGACATAGATCTTAGAATGTAGGTCATCCTCGTGAATGTTCTAATGAAATATGTTACTATGTAACAAATAAATAGCTGGGTCAATACACATGCTGTACTTTAACAACATAAAACATAAATACAATTTGTGGGACTCTGCAGTATGTGCTAATGAAATTGTGCAATAAACAAACAGACATGAATGCTCATTTCTCTTTAACCTTGCTCTCAGTATATGCAATGTGCTTATCACTGCTTTATATGCAGTATGCAACCTTGTAGAATGATTGTGGCCGACCGCCACTCACTGCTTCCTAGTACCTCCGAGTACTTCCAAGCACTCCACCAGACAACATAAGCACCGTAGTCCCCACTTCCAGCGTTACAGCTTGGCTGGAGTCTTGCCGTCCTCCACCCACCCTGGACCCAAGACCAGAATCCAGCTTCCAGTGGGCAGACCTCTCCTACTCCAGAGAGTGCTCTTACAAGAGCAAGTGATTTTAACCCAGTTATAATCTATGTTGAGGGTAGGAAGGAACTCTTTTAATGGTTGCCACAACTGGCCTTATGGGCAGGTCTCCATGCAAGGGGCACTCCCCCCTGGACCTGAGAGTAAACCACAGTAGAAACAAATACACAATTACATTGGCTCTCAGATCCAGGACACTCTCATACATAACAAGATAATCCCTCCCCTGTGTCTGGGAGATAATTGAGTCATCCACTGTAGTAAATCTCCACAAAGATACATTTAAACGCATTAAAACTCCCAGAAAAGTTACATCCCCTAATAGCCCAGATCTGGGTGACCAACATATCCAAAAATCACCCAGATCGGTTCAGGGGTTCAGGAATTTTCTGGAAGTCATAGTTTGACAGACCGCACGCATGGTCCCATAGCCAAAACAGTTCCAGAGAATCAGGATTTGTGGTTGGTCTAGTTCGTAATTCACAATACAACATAAATACGAATGCAACCAGTTTGTATGTATACTTAGTCTGTCTCTCTTGTTCGGGAGTGTTTCCACCGAACGCCGGTCTTCTCAAGTGAATCCAGTCGAACGTACGAAGAGATAGAAGTCTCAGCTGTGTTCGCACCGTCGAGTGTTCCGATTATAGTTCCAGGCACTCGACAACCAAACACCGCTGTGTGTGTTCGCAGCTAAAGATGGCCACCGCCATGTGTTCACACATACGAACGATGGCCACCCAGCTAACCACTTAGAACGTTGTGGTTAAACATAAGTCATGGAGGTTAATGGGCTGCACACTCCTCTTCTGGGTGGTCTAACTGTTCGGTAACAGAACAGAATAAGTACCATCCCTTCGGTAAGCCCGAACCCTAACAGGGAAAAGGCACGAACCAAACCTTTCCACAGTCCTGAACCAAGGTCTAATACATGGGCCATAGTCCTGGGGCAAGAGGCTGGCAAGCAGGCCCCTCCAAGAACCAGTGGTGAGGTTACTTTCGCCACAATGATAAAATATCCATTTATGTAGCCAGGTAGGGTAGTTGTGGTTTGTTGCAAGATTTTAAACAGTGCTGGGATTCAGACATTACCATTACCCAACTTAATGGTACTCATTTTATCAGAAGGATGAAAGGCTGACTTGACCTAGTTGAAATCTGTTCTAAGACTCTAAAAATCAGCAGCTGGCTCCCTTACCTTTCCAGCTACGACCTAGACATGAAACACATTTACTGGAGTGCTGACAATATTTCTTTGGTCTAATTTACATCCCAAGTGCATCTGGATTTAAATGCAACAGAGTAACCCCACAACCTGTTTATCAGAGACATTGTGGCCCGGGATGGGTAAAATTAGAGTAGATGAGGGTAAAAGAGTCCAAGTCTCTGATGCCTACATTTAAAATTCCTGAATTGAACATAAAAAAGTGTTAGGAACAAGAATGTGTGAAAAGTTTGAATTTGATACACTTGCGTGTTTTTTGTTGTTGTTTTTTTTAACATAAATTACTATGTTGCTATATTTGTGGTAAATGTCATGGAAAAGGAATTGCCATTGTAATCAACATGGAGTGGTGTATGATCTGAGTTGAAACATCTCTAAGCCCTCTGGCTCTTAAAAAAGGAGAAAAAAACCTCCCATATATTATTCCCTATTTGTTGGTCTCAAGAACCAGACAGGTAGTGTCTTGCCCAGGAATCAGAAAAACAGAGCCTCATGCAACATCTTCTCAAGCGAGGACTCATCTCTTGGCAACATTATCTGCTTTTCCGTTTTTTTAGACTTTGAGCACTATGTATAGATGTGGGCGTGTTTAAAGCTATGAATAATTCCAAGTGCCATTCATTAGGCACAAATCTCTGTCACTCACCTATGATAGGCTCCATGTTGTCTTGCAATTTTTCATTAAAAAGGTTTCTCTCGTTACTGTTTGGCTGCTATGATGATGATATTGGTAGGAGTGGGTATAAGAGAGGATATAAACTGTGAGTGATAAAAGAAAAGACTAAGTGGGAAACAAAATAGTCACAAATGTATTTGCAAGAAACTGACATATTTGTCAAGCTTTACCCTAAATAGATAGGCACTATAATAATTGTATTTAATGTATTTTAAAATCAACCTCTCGTTTTATTAAACACACTAGCTTTAATCATTAAAATTAGTTTGCATATATTAATGTATTTTTAATATGTATCTCTTATCTCATAATTATACACATTATAATTAGTTTTCCTAAAGTAAAGCATTAGTTCTAATTGCTAATGTGCAAATATTGCTCGAAGGATAATATGGTACTCTATTTTACGTAAATAATGTAAAGGGATCATTTTTAATAGCTAAATATTTCTAAGCTCTTTAATTCTTCATTAAATAAAGCTTATTTACTAATGTGTGAATTGTCAGGAATTCAAAATTTAGTTCAGATTGTAGGCCACATTGAAGGCATAACTCATTTTGGTTTCGATTTGGCTACGTCTCTTCTAAATTGCAATTTTTTCAACCCCTTTAAACACCTCTAATATTTGTATTAGCTAAGTTAGTTTAAGTAGGCGATGATTACACAGCGGCTGTTATTGGACGCTCCTAAAAAAAACAAACAAAAAAAAACAAACACATTCCACAATATATCCACGTCACCGGTAAATGTAACAACAAAAATAACTCTAAATTTCTATATTTAAAAGTCTGGTTAATTAAAAATATAATCTTTGTGTTTGATCCTCCTTTTTAGAATATTTCCCAGTATTATAGAGAGTTCCTGTTGATTCAATAACAAGGAAATAGACTTTATCTTGCCCTCAGTTAAACATGTCTCTACAGAGGAAGGAAGATGGAGATTGGCACAGAAGAGTATTCATGATGTGCTGTAAATCTTTTAACATCTTTCTATTATTACTTAGTGTTAGTTTACAAGCAATTAAATATAATGAACGTACATGTGTTCTGCATTACAATGTTTATATAAAAAAATAGGTACTTTTATATAAATAGGTACAATTAGTCACCCACCAAAGCACTGCTCACCTTTACAGGTGGCGTGGGGTCCCTTACCCTGCATTTTCCTTAGAGAGGAAATGCCAGTTCTCTGCAATTTACTCAGTTGAATAAATCGCTAATAATGACCTATAACTTGTGTTAACCTGTTTTCTTTAAATTACATCACAATTCAGTTCAGACAAGGCAAAGCTACGGCAAACGTTGCAAATGAAGAGGAAAAATAAAAAATATTGTTTGACTTTTTCCTATTCACGCAATGATTTCTCTATGCTGATTGCCAGGTGCAATTTAGTGCCGAGCTTATAACAATAATAATACAGGCGTTTTTTTAGTCTTTTTTAAGGACATTTACCAAGATAAAATTCTTTAAAGCAGCTCTGAAACATATACAAAAAAGTAGAAATATATAAACATAGCGTTTAGTGAGAGATATAGGCAGCTTTGTAATCCAGGTGTAACGGAAGCTTCCCCACCTTTGACTGCCTTCTCTATGGAACTTTCCTTCCCTTGTAATTTAATGCTAAACAGATACTGTATGGTTTGTGGAGGAGCTTGGAGGCCAGTCTCCTTCCTAGAGATTCTGGACTCTCTAAAACTGAACTCAGCGGATACTGTGGCTAACCATCCAGGTAATACCAGACCTCTGGAATATCAGTAAGCTCTAACTCTGCCATTCATCGAACTTGTATCATCCAGAAACTGGCATTCTCTCAACTTCCATAATCTGTATCATGAGTCCAAGAGCAACATTAGGCAACGCCTTGGATTGGGAGGTAGGTCTTTGGCATGCCGAGGTATTTGTGATAGACTCTGGAGTGTAAAGCTCCGTATTGTTTTTCCAGACATATTGTATTGCGAATCCAAGAGTCCAGCCACTTAATGCTCTCCTGGGGAGGCCCTAGGATGTCTTTGCTGGCACTAATCTCCTTTGGTTTGCTGCTTCAGCCAAAAATATCTCCATACTGCCCTGTGTTACAGGTTGCTTCAGGTTCTGCTGTGTGTGTGAGGCAAAATCCCAAAATACCCCTTATCAGGAGTACTGGTCCACCCAGCATTTGTGGGTGTTAAGAGGTGACATAGCAGAGTGCCAGCCTTTTTCTTCCATCACTACCCTACTAGTAGTGACAAGGATCTTCCAGAGAGAGAGAAAGGGCTTCAGCAGAAGTTCCACCAGTTCCTCCACAAATATCAGCCAGACTTGATAAAGTGGGGGACAGTACTATACAGACATATTGAGATTTAAACAGGATTCTTATACATATATTATTGTTTATACAGTGAACACAAGGCAACCAGTAAAGATGCGAAAGCAGCCAATCACACTGCGAGATTTGATTAAATTACAATCAGTATCATGTATACAAGCATGGTTGGGGACAGACATGGACAACGACTGTGGACTGCATGGGAGAATTAAAAGAGTGTCAGGGCAGCCAGTTCTTACTAGTCTGAAAGCAATGGGAAAACCACAAAGCAGGGTTAGGAAGGACGGGAACACACAAAATGGATAGTTTATACATTTAGCTTCATTTCAGCCATACAATACAGAAAGTCACAACCATTTCAAATGGGATCATTAGCAACAGTATCTGCTGAGTCCAGTTTCAGTAGTAACCGAGGGTCCAGAGTCTCTAGGAAGGAGGCTGGCCTCCAAGCTCTTCCACAAGCCATATAATCTCTGTTCAATCAGCACCAGATTACATGGAAGTGCAGTTCATAGGGCAGCCATTCAACGCTGGGGAAGCTTTAGCTCCACAAAGTATTAACAAAGGTAATTATACTTGTATTTATTAACTTGTTACTTTTGCTTTATACATCTACAATATTGGCCAATAGGTGGCTCTTCTGCAGTTTATTAATGAATTAATGAATAAGCTTGCATCTTGTTGTCTGCTGCTTTTATACCTTAGGAAACTATCACCGTGCAGGACACCAGAGCCTGGCAGCAGAGAGGGGCAAATTGTTGTAGAATGATGATGAATCAGTGGAATGTCTACTGAGCCTCCATTCCACTGCTATGCTTCCTTGTACTTCCCCAGGTTTTGAAGTGGTTCGTAATATGTAACATTCTTTGGCATGCTGGAGTTAGCAAAGTGAGGAAGACCTACATGCTAAATATAAGCTGGTGCTTTTGTCAGTACCCTTTTAGTAAGTACAAGTAGGCAGAGTGGGCATATATTTGCATTTTGTATTAACCAAAATGGTTGGTATGTTTTGTAACAAAACATTTGATCCTGAATTATCATGTCTCACAACTGTTGCAATGAAAAGTAGGATGATCTTTTTATTTTCACTCTGTTTATTTATCTCAACCATAACCTATTCCTGTTATTCTAGCTCTGAGAGACAGAAATCATCATTATATTATAAATGGGAACTGGGCCATTAACCATCCTGGAGAGTACAGTGTGGTTGGGACCAAGTTCCAGTACCGGCGCTCTGTTGACAATCAGGAAAGCTTTGAGGCGGCTGGGCCGACTAAAGAAGATCTGCACATTATGGTTCGTATTCCAGATGGTGGCCACAGCTTATTACCTTATTCGTAATGAATAAATTTTTGTTTCATCCAAATATATTCGGACAATAATAAAAAGTGTTTCGTCTGAACCGAATTTTGTTCGTTTGTTCGTTCATTTTCAGACAAAATTCTGCCGTTGCATTCCTTTCAGAGTTTTATTTGACAAATGAAATTCCAATCCATTGCAGCCATTTAGTAATTAACCCCATAAATTGGTACCCTTGTGGGATTGCCATATTTAAGGGTTTCAACTTAGGGGTCTGTTTAGGTCTTTTTGGAATCCCTTTGGCAATCCCACAAGGATTGGAAAGCTATCTACTAAGAATCTGAAAGACCAAAATAAAATAAATACTTACCGTATATACTCGTGTATAAGTCGATCTCATGTACAAGTCGAGTGCAGTTTTGTGACCAACAATTGTGAAAAATGCTATGCTTTGTGGATAAGTCAAGGGTAAAACTTGGGGCTATGAAATTCTGTGATTTTTATAATTATATACACACACACTCATACAAACTCACACTCTGCATTATATACAATTTTTTTAATTTTAATTTTTAAAAAAATGTTATTTTAGTATAATTTTTTAATTTTATTATTTAATTTTTTTTTAGTCCCCCCTCCCTGCTTGTTAGCTGGCTAGGGAGGGGGGCTCTCATTCCCTGGTGGTCCAGTGAATGGGTTGTGTAGGAGGCAGCGAGCTGTAACTTACCTTTCCTGCAGCTCCTGTCAGCTCCCTCCTCCTGCGTTCCGGTTAGCTCCCCTGTCAGCTCCACTGTAAGTCTCGCTGTGTGACTGCTGCGCGGATCATTGTCACGGTAACCACGCAGCTCTCGCGAGTCTTACAGTGGAAGAGAAGGGAGCTGACCGGAACGCAGGAGAAGGGAGCTGACAGAAGCTGCAGGAAAGGTAAGGTAAGTTACAGCTCGCTGCCAGCCCCCAACAGGACCGTCGGGCTTGTAACGAGCCCGGCGGTCCTGGTCTGTATTATGGCAATGTAAGTTGCCATAATACAGACAGTGACTCGAGTATAAGTCGAGTGGGGGTTTTTCAGCACAAAAAATGTGCTGAAAAACTCGACTTATACTAGAGTATATACGGTTGTCTTTTCTCTGAAAAGGCAGTGTTTACATTAAAAAGAGTGCAGGGACAGGCTATAGACACCAGGACAACTACATTAAGCTGTGTGGTTCTGATGTTAATAGTGTCCCTTTAACCAAGAGTCCATATAAACTTAATATATTTTATCACACCTGTTTTGTTATTGTCATTATAGCTGTTATTGTTTGTTTATATTTTGTTTTGTTTTAATTCTGTTTCAGATCCTATTCACAGAGCAGAATGCTGGCATCGAGTATGAATACTGGCTTCCAAAAGATTACTATATTCAGCAACAAAGAGACCGCAGCTCATTGCACGAACACACAGAGGAAGCAGTGATTCGGGCTCCTCCACTTACTACACAGCCAGCACCAACCACCAAAAACCACGGTAAGTGAAGGGAGGGGGATCATAAATCCCTAATTTAACAGCATAGTATTCTGAATAGAGACAGTGTAAAGTGACTTGAAGGGACATTACAAATACTAAATAATTTAAAAGCACATAGAACAATACTATGGATTTATTTACTAAACTCCAAATTTAAAAATCAATGGCAAAATGTAGTTAACAAAAGCTAATTTGTAAACATTTTTTGAACTCTGCTCAAATCACAGATTAGGCATTTTTGCCAACAACTTTGCCATTTATTTTTTAATTCACTACACTTAGGAGTTTAGTGAATCATTTCCTATGGGTTTGTTTGACACTTTCAGCATTATTTACTAAATTGAGAATTCGAGGTGAATTTAGAATGGATTTCAAATTCCAGGTATAAATAGCTAAAATTCCAATTCGGCTATTCTGAGTTTAAATTTAAAATTCACTTTGAATTCTTACTTTAGTGTTTATTATCAGTGAGTGAACGTTCCAGATTGTACACACCATCTACTTCCCTACAAACAAACAAAAAAAGACTATGTAAAAAATAAAAAAAGGAATAAAAATAATCAATAATATAATATTACTATAAAAATAATGTAATAAAAATTTTCATTTTAATGAACAACTGAGGGTGTACACCAGCGTAGAATCATGTTTTGATTGAATAACAAAATGTATTCTTAAAATGTATTTTTTTTCTTAGTTTATTGTCTAAGATTGAGTCCAACAATATGGACGAAACATGTGCAATGTGAGGTATACTGAGATGTAAAAAGATACACTGGGAGCCTTCAATCTTTCAAGCTAGTTTGGAATAAAAAATAACCTCTACTCATAGCAAGTCTTGTAGATTCATTCCTGCTTATTTCTTTTTAGCCTGGCTCGACTTTTTAAAGTTTTTATTAAAGGGACACTACAGTAACCAGAACAACTACAGCTTAATGTAGTTGTTCTGGGGAGTATATTCATTGCTTGCAGGCATTTTCATGCAAACACTGCCTTTTCAGAGAAAAAATAGCTAAACTCCAGAGAAAAGGCAGTGTTTACATCCACACTTTGCATGGGGATGCTGAATTTTCCTCCTCGAGACATTGATTCAACACAGTTTGGCCCTGCCCCCCTGCCGATTTTAGCCAATGCAATGCAATGCTTGGATTGACTAAAAATCAGCTATTCTGATGTCACAAAGGGGGCGGACCTAGCACCAGTGGACCTGCGCGGTGCTGGAATTAAGATGAGTTTTAATTCCTTCTAAGAGGGAAAGGGGGTGGCAAGCCACCTAAATGGTGGGTTTAGCACTATAGGGTCAGGAATACATGGTTGTGTTTTTGACCCTATAGTGTTCCTTTAATCCTTAATTTTTTTGAAGAACATAATAATTAAAATAATGGGAATGGGAATGGGAGGAGGGAAGAGGTGCTCCTTAAAGGATGGCCGTACTGCCTACAAAACTGTTGGTTTTTATTATGTCTAAAGATGACTTATCTCTATAAATGGAACTGTTTCACTTTTGAGGTCTTGTAATTTATAGCAATCACATGAAATGGAAATTATTGAGCTGCTGCAAAAAACTTTACAGTGATATACAGAACATTCTCTTTACTAGTTAATGAAAATCTACTATAAGGGCCCTTCTAAAAGGACATAATTATCTGCATGTCAAGTGTGGTGACCTGAGCCCAAAGACACACTGAATGTTTAGAAGCAAAGTGTGTACAAAGGGCTAATTAGTCTGTGGGATTAGTCAGCCTGTTTTGTGAGAACCCTCTTTAATTTATTGGCTACGTTCCATTGACAAACTTTGCTTATGTAAACACCTACTTTTTGAGATTGGAATGGAAGGATTAATTCAATGGCAAGGGAGCTGTTCTTCCAATGATTGATAGATTGGCGTCTGTGGATTGTTTAAAATATCACCCATCTTTTTTAACTTTGTATATACCTCTGTGCAGTCTATATCCAGGCACAAATAGCTATAACAGAAAACAGAACTAACTCCATATCACCATCACCCAGAATTAAAGGTTAAAGATCAAAAATATTTATATTTCTGTTTCCTGACATGTCCTTATGCTTTACATCTTTTTATCATTGAGTGTCAGCCTGGCCATGTTTGTTTTCATTTGTCATCCTGGTGGCTTATTCACTATATATTGAATTGTAGGAAGATACTAACCAATTAGCAGAATTAGGCCAAGATATCTTGAAAACTAAAAAGCTCTTAACTGAGATTGGAATTGTTCCTCAACTCCACATGCATTCCAATTTGCTTCTGAAAACTGTTTTTGAAGATTATTCTAAAGTGTTCCCTCACCTATCTCCCTGCATATTAGGTCATAAAACAACTGTCAAGTTCTTAACATTTTTAAAATGGTTCAGCTGTTTTTAAAGCGCCTTTGTCACCTGAAATATATTTTACATAAATCAGTTTAAAACAATTTACCAACAGATTAAGGTTTCCCGGAATCAAGCTATAACATGTTTGACTGTAATTTCTACTTGAAAACCTGACAGTTTTTCAGTGTAAAGGTGGTCATCGTACAACTGCATCACAATTTAGCAATTTTGTAATGGAAAAACGTTGCACAGAACATGTGGTCGACAGCCAATTAGAATCTGTGATTTGTGCAGATGAACGAGGTAGCTACCAGAATTCCATTGTACGTGACCGAATAAATGCTTCTTAGACATACTAAATTATTACTGAATGTAGAGTCCACTAATGGGATTTCCAGGTTAGCTATAGATTAAATATTCAGTTTTTATCAAGAGCGATCTGAGAAATGGATTGAAGTACACTGGCTATAGGAAATTAAAGAGCTATATGACAGAAAATATCTGAAGACAAAGCTGCTTTCATGCTTTTTCTACCTGTATTTGTTTTTAAATAATTATCTGCATGGATCTATTTAATCTCTATAATTTAATGTCGAATTTAGATCTGGGGACTAAATTTCCTTCATGTAACGAGTTCCTTGACTTCAAATGGATTGACATTTCTTAGGAAACATACCTTTGAATACATCAAATTTTGTTTGTTTTGTTTCGTATTTAGTTGAAATATATATGAAAGGTTACACTTAAAGAACATTTGTTTAACTTAAATGTGTTAGGCTCAGAAGGCTTAGAAGATAGCTGGAAGCTTAACAGGTGACAAGTTTAGGAGTTTTTTAGGTGTCAAAAAAATTAACATGATCTGAGGAGTTTTTAAAGACAGAAAAAATGTAGATTTACCTGACGTGCGCGCCCTTCGAGCTGTCCTCATGGACAATTTTACTTAGAAATACGTTTTTTGAACATGTTGGGTAAATATCATAGAATAGTAGAAATTGCTTCATTTAAATGTTTTGGCTGTTTCTTGACAGCACGAAGACCAACAACTCCAGCAAAGAGACCTCACTACCACCCACGCCTCGAGAGGGACAACCCCGAGTGGAACCAGGTTAAAGAATCCAAAGCAGACAGTAAGTTAGTATTTCTTTTTTGTTTTTGGTAAATCTTTATTTGTGTGTGCAAGGAGACATTGTAGGTTTCAACATGGTAAGTTAGTATTTTAATAGAGGAAAACTGGTCAGCTACTGCCCATCATATCCACATTTGTTTTCTAATTTATTTAATTATTTTTAAAGGACAACACCTACCAATGCATATCTCCCAACATTTCAATTGGATAAAGATGGACACTTTAAATTTAGGGATGTGAGTGTGGGTCTGGCCAGGGGCCGTGCTATTCTGATAAATTTTAGGTGGCTTAAAGGACCACTCTAGGCACCCAGACCACTTCAGCTTAATGAAGTGGTCTGGGTGCCAGGTCCTTCTAGGGTTAACCCATTTTTTTTATAAACATAGCAGTTTCAGAGAAACTGCTATGTTTATCAATGGGTTAAGCCTTCCTCCAAATCCTCTAGTGGCTGTCTCATTGACAGCCGCTAGAGGCGCTTGCGTGCTTCTCACTGTGAAAATCACAGTGAGAGCACGCAAGCGTCCATAGGAAAGCATGCTTTCCTATGCGACCGGCTGAATGCGTGCGCAGCTCTTGCCGCGCGTGCGCATTCAGCCAACGGGGTGGATCGGAGGAGGAGAGGAGGCAGAGAACTCCCCGCCCAGTGCTGGAAAAAGGTAAGTTTTTACCCCTTTCCCTCTTCCAGAGCCGGCGGGAGGGGGACCCTGAGTATGTTTTCCTGGCACTATAGTGGTCCTTTAACAATTTTTGCAACTAAAATGTAATTTAGAACAAGAACAATGTATATATTTAGCACAGACTTATTTCTAAACACATTTATTGTAGTTTGAAGATACATTACTGTTAGTATTATTGCTGTGGAGCTCTATGACACACTCACACACCATCAATATGGAGCTCATAGAAAAGAGGGTGCTAATACAGAAAAGAGGACAGGGGAATTTGGACCTAAAATAGGGACTGTCCCTTCTAAACAGGGAAACATGGGAAGTATGTAATCGTACAATATCCCTTGGCAGCATTATGTAATGGTTTATCTTTCCTTCTTCTTGGTTTCATACAAATCTGATAATCTAGTGCTAATTTCTTCATTCACAGTGTGATAACATTTTTACCCCCCATGTTTTTCTCTTTAAAAGCAGATGATTTAAATATAGTAAAATTAATCTCACATCAGAAACCTAAAAAGATAATAAAACTGTAGTCTGCAAATCTTTTTCCCATAAAGTTTGCAAACATGGATTCCTTACCTGGCTGTGCCCTACTGTTAAGTGGTGCTAGAGTATCCCACAATTCTTTGCAAAGGCATGTGGGATTCTGTGAGTGTCCTTTAGGGGAGAAACAGCTGCGTGTGCAGTCACCCCATATAATCCTGCCGCCAATGTTGTCGGAGGAGTGGGAGTTTTGGAAAATAGATTTCATATGTGTAGTTTAAAATCTATACCTAGCTAAATATTGTCTAGATTGTAAACTCATTAGAACATGGTCCTCATTTACATCTTGTTCCTGTTAAAATTCGTAATAGGTTGTCTCAGTTGCTGTTAAATTCCCTCTTTATAATATTGTAAAGTGCTGCAGAATAAGTTGTTATATAAAATCCAATCAAACTAATAAGGTCAGCATAACTGCATAACTGAGTATCTCCATGTGCAGCCATCTTTGTAATGTTTCCTTTTGCAGAGTTACTTGGTACAGCAATAGGTGTACACTAGGTACAATAACTTAATAGCCAAATATTGGCTTGCATTTTTGGTAGATCAATATATAGATAAAATGTAGACTCCAAATCAAAGTCTACTTAAGACCCTCCATGTTAAAAGCTGCCTTTCCATTAGTAACTGACACAGGGCCTGAATTTGCTTTGAAAATGATTTTAGGAGTGTACAAAGCAGTGTGTTACAGGATGTACATAGGCATTACCATGTTCTCATTGTGTCACTAAGCTTAGAATACCATGTCTAGTTCTCTCCAACAGGATACAAGTACAGTGTACTAAATTACATTTAAAAAATGTGTTATTGACTCTCGACTTACCCCAGGAGCTATTAGTTTTGTGTCAGTCCACTGAATGTCTACAAAGAAAATCATGGTCCTGTTGTCTAGTGGTTGGAACTTGGAATAATAGACTGTTTGGACTATTCTCTCACCTCTCTCTCTCTCTTTCTGATAGAGGACATTCCGCTGGGATCGCTAGTCTATGACAGAACTACTGTGTCATTGATAAAGCAGCAAATTGCTCACTACCATGACTGTAACCATGGCCCAATTGTTTCTGCCACTGCGCAAGCCTTGCTTAAATCTACTGCTTTATCAAACAAGGATGGAATATTCTCTACACTGAGTAATACTCCTTGATACTAAAAATGGTTTACTATCTGCACACTTTTAGTTCTGTACAATAAAATAAAAAACATGATTAGAATCGAAGTGTTAATGGATTAGTATTCTATTAACCTCTTGAGTTCCATTAGTGTGTTTGTTGCTTTAATAATGTACAGTTGTATAGAGGTAGCTTAAAGCACTTGAATCTGAGCCCGCATGCAATCTCAAATTCCTCTGTTCCTATTTCAGCCAAGCAGATCAATGAATATGTGCTTCCAGTCTTGCTGGGAGCACAGGCTGTGGATCTGTTGGTTTGTGCATTGATTATGCGGGCATTCTGTTTTGAACCTTTCTCCTCAGGTGAACTCCAAATCCTCAGTGTGTAGGTTGGGCTTTTAGAACACCCTCAGCTCGTGCCTTTACCCTGTCATAGCAAGAACATCCGATGCTGCAATAGCAGTTAGCACTGACAATCTGATCATAGCTGTGCTGTACAGAAAATATAGTTACACGTGTGTTATGCTCTGTGTAGACAGATTATTCCGACATTTTAATTCACTGAGACTGTGATTAATTAAACTTGCTCTATCAGTCTCCAAATAATAGAATGTCATCCAGTATTTTGTAATTAGGGATATAAATTCATTAAGTGGGGAACCTGACCTCAAATGACCTTCACTCCACACAAGTTCACACCTTTTTATAAAAGTGGGGGCACCATCTCTAGCGATCCCAGCGTCCTCCTTCAAGGAGGGAGCAGGAAAGCTGTGAGTAGACAGCTCCTTCCACTAGACCACAGGAGGACCATTTATACCCACTAATGAGTCTTCGTGTAAGACTATGGACTGACTAAAGGACTATGTCCTCAATTTAATATTTTTGCATAAGCTTTTCAGATTCTAATATTTAGATTTTTTTTATATATGTTTATTAAAATTATTATCTAATTTATATAATTTTTTTATATTTTAATATTCTAAAAACTATTTGAAAAGTTTTATCCAAAAAATATTAAATAATTTTAAAAAGGCTATCCAAAAATATTAAATCGAGGCCTATATTTGAGAGGTAGGGGCGCAGTGTTAAACAACTTTTATTTCATTTATGTGCTATTTTACAGAATTACCTTCTTCACGTCTTGTTCTAGTTTACATTAATTTGTTTGTCATGTATTTTCTGTTTTACATCCTCATTGTAAAGCACTATAGAACATGTTTGATACATTTTGATAATAATAATAATAGCCAACCCAGAGGATACAACATCAAAACTCATGGAGTAAAATAAATGGTAAATAATGTACCATTCATGTATATCATAATATGACATGAATGGGTAAAACATAGAAATTTTATGTTTTAGTTGACATATTAACAGCTGACAGAAAATACTATATGTTGTATATATGTGGCTGGGTTTATTCACTAAATTCCAGAATGTATCATATTGAAATAGAAATTGCTACATTTAGGCTTAAATGTCTGATCTGGAAAATGTCTCCACCTCCTATATTATCATATCTTGTCTAGTGAAAGTTCTGCTGTTTGGAATTGTATTTCCTCAGTTTGAAGATTAGGGTATAAAGACTTTAATATTCCCATACATACACTTTTATTACGCAGAATCTGCTCTTGCACCTATTATTTCATAGTCCTGTCTGATTTAGTATTGCACTTCATTTTTCCTTCATACTTTCTGCTTGGCTGACTGAGAAAGCTACCTTTGATCTGTTAACAGGATATCATTTCAGGAGTGGCAAAGCGAAGATGCAGAAAATTATCTGGAAAAAAAATGTCAGGATGTCAGTTATTTGGCAAAAACACCCTGGCATAGAGCCAATTGCAAATTTCCAAGACATGGTTGTATGGTGTCCTCGTAGCAGTGTGGAAAGGAATTGGGTGTGTTAGATCATTGGCTCTGGCTGTTTGTTCATACGATACTGTATCGGACTGACATAGGTCCTGAACATGTGAAAATGTAAGAATTCTATCAGTGTTACTTACTGGAGCTACATGAAGGCTGACTATAAAAAGCCTTTATTTTTACAAGATTTTATCTCTTTGTATCTTTCTTGTTTATCGCTCCGGAAGAATGTATGTAGACGTTTATTCACGAGAAGTGGTATCAAGTGGCGCTTCCACTTTTATTGTAGAAAAAAAAAAAAACACTACTTTTGGCTAATGTGCATTTATAGGGGCTCATTTTTTGTCTGTTTGGATTTTCTTGGCTACATTTTCACACAACTTCAGCTCTCACAGTTTTCAGTTATTTGTGTTCATTTAAAATAATAGTGATGATAAATATATATATATATATATATATATATATATATATATATATATATATATATATATGCTGCTGTTCAGCTTCTGCAGTGAGTTCTTAACCAACCGCGAGGAAAGAGTAGGCTTAGACAGCAAAACTAATTAGTAAAAAAATGACAAATAAAAGTTAAAGGTTTTATTTGTTTAATGCATTTGGGTATTTAATTTACTTTATACTAGGAAGCAAGTTTCTAATGTATTTAAGTGACAACTATATTGATCTCATTATCAGCATCTATATTGATCTCATTATCAGCAGACATCTATATTGATCTCATTATTCACTAAAGTGAGAATTGTCAGAAAGTGAAAACAAAGTTAATTTCACAATTTAGGCAAAAATAGCCAAACTGGAAACAATATATTTTGAGAATTATTCTAATTCAGAAATGTTGGCCTAAATTTTGAAATTCACATTGAACTCCTGGCAGTTCCCACTTTAGTGAAAAACACAGAGTGTTGAAATGTATCTCTTCCCGCAAAATGCATTTAGTAGAGAATAATTATCTTTATTATTCTTTTTTTAACTCACTGGTGAGTAAAGTACCCACAATGCCCTGCTCTCATGCCTCGGGCCTCAGCTCCGTTCATGGCAGAAGGCAATTTCCCTTATTCCATTGTCCATGAGATTGTGTCCACCCATTTGTCTTTCCTCTAGTGCAGGCATAGGCAAGCTTCATCTCTCCAGATGTTGTGGACTACATCTACCATAATGCTCTTACAGCCACAATGCTGGCAAAGCACCACAAGAGATGGAGTCCAAAACATCTGGAGTGCTGAAGGTTGCTTATCCCTGCTCTAGTGGGACATGCATCACCATAGCCTACTTTGAGGGCCCATATTTGTTTTTTCTCATACCGACCATGCCCCACCTTAAGCTGTGACACCAAACATAGTGCAATAATATAGAAGGACTTTAGTGCAAAACCTGGCATGTGATGAAGGCCCGCTGAGAAGTGGGCAAGTTTTGCTGCCCAGAAACGTAAGTCTCCCACAGCCTAAACTCTTATACCATAAAATGTAAGTAAATAAAACCCCTGACCTGCCATTGACCCCTTTATTCATTTTAAACCCTCCAATAATGATACCAGATACAAGGCTTCTAGAATCACAAATTGTGCGCCTCCATGATGGGAACCAACTTTTTTACTGCTGAAACCTTTGATACAACTATCTTGTGATCTCAGCTTTTGCTGGTACTTTTTAAGCACAGTCTTTAAACCCAAACAATTTGGTCTAAAATGTTTTATCCCGAGCAGGCTTTGTTTCATCTAAACCAGGATATAACAGAGGAGACTTTGGGTTGGCGTGCAGGTTTAAAGATATACCCAATCACATGATCTCCTACAGCTGCTTTGACTATCATGCGATGAGAGTAGGATTAAGCAGCTGCTGTGTTGAGTCACCCAAGTTGATTTAACAGAACACAAATGTCTAGTTTATCACTTAGGAGGTCCAGTATAAATGTTATATATTGTGCATTTCTTACCATTTATGTATCATCAGTGACATTGAATGAATAGCTCACATTGCCGTTATTTACTTTGCATTAGCTGTGTTATTGCTAATTGGCCTTATTGTTGTTACTATTTGACTCTGCTCTTCTGAAAATTACTTTGAACAAACAGCAAAAACGATATTATCAGTGGAACAAAAGAGCCCTTATGGGTTTTTGACCCTAAAATGCTCATAAAAACATAAGAAATAAGACAGGAGCACTTTTTTTTTCCTACAACAAATTAAAAAATAATAATTGTTGTGTTAGCATCTAAAATGTTAAATTGAAACACTCACTGTGAAAAATAATACTTTATAGCTTGTATTTCTAAATAATTTGTATTGACTGGCAGTTCAGTTTTGTAATACATTTAAGTTTCAGACGTTTCTCTGTCTTTTTTTCCCATTTATCTGTTTCTATCTACTGTTTCTGAGACGTGCCTCATCTTGAACCTCATTTAAGCAACACACTGCTTGCTTTCTGGCACATGTTGAGGGATCAATAGGGGACAATTAAGCATTCTCAACATTGTGATTGCAAAGCTATGTTTTGTTTGCTAATCTTATCTCCCCAGCCCTTCTCAACAATTCCCATTGCCATCTGAGCTCCAGCACAGATGGAGTTTAATCATTGAACACAACAGGCAAAGCTTTAATTATTAATGTTGCATAAAGTGTCTCAAGTACATGAAAAGGTGCTGGGGATTTATCACAGGCTTTTATTTTTTTGTATGTTGTATGTATTTATATATTAAAATGAATGTGTATACATATATATATATATATATATATATATATATATATATATATATATATATATATATATATATAT